TGCAAGCTGTGATGTACAAAAAACTTTCAAAATATTCAAAAAATTGGGACGCTGTGCAAAATGTAAATAAAAACAAAATGCAATGATGTGCAAATCATTTAATCCCTATATTTCATTGAAAATAGTACAAAGACAACATTTCAAATGTTGAAACTGAGAAAGTTTATTGTTTTTTTGAAAAATATTTCCCCATTTGAATTCAGTGCCAACAACACGTTCCAAAAAAGTTGGAACAGGAGCAACAAAAGGCTGGTAAAGTCGTGTACTGCATACCTGTTGGTTGATTGACTAATTCAAAGCGGGCATTTACTTTTTCAAAAAACAATCAAATTTCTCAGTTTCAACATTTGATATGTTGTCTTTGTAGTATTTTTCTTTAAAAATATGGTTTACATATTTTGCATATCATTGCATTCTATTTTTATTTACATTCTGCACAGCATCCCAACTTTTTTGGAAATGGGGTTGTATTTCCAAAGTGTACTCCAGTGTATGGCTTTGAGAAAACTACTGACTTTGCAGCGTTTCAATTCTTTTGTTTACAACCAAACTGACCACTCAGTAGAGACACTAAACACTTTGATGGTTAGGATGCCTAAAACATGTGAAGTGCATCCAAACTTCTATGTAACCTGTATATAACATGTGAACGTGTTGTTTGTTTGAAAACAACGTCTGAAGGAAAAATAAGAGCTAATAAACCGAAATCAACTAACCCGCTAGGCATTCTGGGTGACTCCGCCCCTGCTCTCTTATTGAGTTTGTTCTTCTCACAAAAATTAGTACATTTAGATTGCCTAAATTGCGTGATAACAACTAATATCAAGAAAATATGTAATTATAATGTGATTTGTGATTATTGAGGTACAAACAACATCAGTGCATGTGTGGGAAACCAGGTTTTTACAGATGTGATGTTGAACTAAGACATTCACGTTATCCATTGTGATAAAAAAACAAAAACGTGGACTCTCAGTTTTGCCATTTAAGCCTGTGCGCTGGTTTAAAACTGTCTTCAGTAGCAAAGGTTATGAAAGATAAACAAGCTTTTAGGATAAAATCTCAAGATGCTAAGAAACCTTTCATTGGCAGAAGAAATTTTTATTGTTGGAGAACATGCAAATGACTGGGATGGCTCTTATCAATGCAGGTGTTGTACAATGATAAAATAGATAGATGACTGGAATCCGGCAAACTGGATCATTCCCAGCATCAAAAACATGGATTAATGATAAATATATACCTCTCTTGTGACTGGTTGCCTTGTATTGAGCCCAATCAAAACTGTGAATTCAAAACAGGCTGTTTTTTGCAGCTTAGTTTACATGTAAGTGCTGTAAACTAAACAGTATGTCAGAAAGTAGACCACCATTAGCAGTGTATTCATTAGTGTAGTGTGTATAATATAGTAGTAAGTGGTCTGAGACAGCAACATTATTAAAAGATGACGTTATGAAAGGACACTGTTGTGAAAAGACGAATGAAAAAGTTCAAGCAAAATCTTGGTTTTTACAGCCATGGATTTTTATAAATAATAACTTAAATATTGTGTTTAGCTGTTTGCAGAATGAATGAGCTGAGGTGAAATATTAACAGGGTATAAATACAACACTAAGAATAATATTTTACTTAAAACCAACGAGTGTTATGCTAATAAATACCTTCAACATGTCAATACATTGGAGGATGCACTTTTTTAGGCCATATTTGACCATCTTTGAGATGTAATCATTTAGTCAGTTCTCAAAATAATGTGTGCCAAATAATGGTCTTTTGTAGTATTCCTATGTTTTTAGCAAATATATGAATTATTAACTTCTGAGTGTGATATTTAAAGCTTCACTGTGATTTCAAAACATATTTTTAAGCCAGTTTTTTGTAAATTTAAATATTTAAATAAGCCTTTATGAGTCTATATTGTCTCAAAATGGAAATCTGCTCTGATTTGCTCATTATTTAATAGATTTTTAAAATAAGTTATTTGTAAGAAGCCTAATATATTGATGTACAGTATAAAGCAAACCCTGTATTCAAAAACTAACCTCTATAATGCTTTAGAAAGTCATAGAAATAGACAGTAGTATTTTCTGTTTTTACCTGTATTTAAGGGAAAGCAGTATAAAGACAAGATAGCTGATGTTTTATCTCATCAGCATCGCTGTTTTTTGTAAATATACATTCATTCAGAAGTTGATACCTGCAACACATTTCAAGAAAGTTGGGAGAGGGGCAATGTAAGCCTAGAAACATTATTAAACATTTTAAATAAGATGTGTGAGAGTAATCATGCTCGGGTATAAAAGGAGCATCCAGGAAGGGCCTAGTCCTTTATGAGCAAGGATGGGTTAAGGCTCGCCACTTTAACAAAAAAATCCATCAGCAAATAGTCTAAATGTTTGAGAACAACATTCCTCAATAAGCAATTGCAAGGATTTGTCATAATTCACTCTCTGAGTTGCATAATAACATGACAAGTTTCAGGGAATCTGGAAAAAATCTCTAAATAACCAAAAAACACAACTGAATGCCCCTGACCTTTGATCTTTCAGACAGCACTGCCAGATTGTTACCAGAGTAAAGTTCAAAGGTCAGTGTCTGTCAAGACATGGGGGGTATTAGTGAGTAAATTGCACATCTACGAAACCACCATCAACACTGAAAAATATCAGTTTTGGACCAACACATGTTGCCTTCTAGACACCGTCTTTTTCAGGGAAGTCCATGCTTATTTCAACATGTCAATGGCAAGAAACATTCTGCACAAGTTAAAACAGCATGGCTGTGTAATCAGAGAGTGCAGGTGCTAGACTGGCCTGCCTGCAGTCCAGAGCTGTCTCACATTGAAAACTTGGCAGATTATAAAGACAATACAACAATGAAGGATTTGTATGGTGGCGCAGCTGCAGGCTTGTATAACTGAAGAATGTCAAAAAATTCTGGTTCCAAAACTGGATCAGCTTGTATCTTCAGTCCCCAAACATTTACTAAATGTTCTTAAAGGTGGAGATTTACAGGGATCTATTACCAGACATGGGATAAAGTATACAAACCAGTGTGTATAATCACTTGTAACTACAAATCACTGTGTTTTTGTTGAAGCCAGTTTATGCTTCTGCATCAAATATATGCCTTAGCTATAACCTGTAACTTGGGCTGTGCCCTGTGCTGTAGCCTGACACACACCTCCTCAGAAATGTAAGTACATGTCCCACAACAATTGTGAATGGTCCACTTGATAGCATCACATTTCCAGCTTCTCCTCCTTCTCAAGTATAGATGATAAAAAACTTGTAACAGTGAAGTCAACTGATGGTGTTGGAGTGACGGAAAGCCAAAATCAAACCTGTTCTGTAGTGTTTTAAGCTGTAACCTGCTAAGCTAAGCTAACACGAGTGTACCGAGCCTCCCACCGCAGTACAGGCTTGTTTCCAGGTAACTGATGCTTAAAAACGCCCATTTAGAGGATAAAGACTCATATTTAAGACCATAAATTTGAATGTCTGGTGTTGAAGTGACAAAGATGAAAAACCTGTAATTGCAGAGCAATTACACAACAGCGTACTTGCGTAGGCTACGGCGTACTCTCTGCGTTGATTTGCCACAGAAGTATAAATCGGCCTTAAGAACGATCCCTTCATATCTACATAGTTAGCAGGTCCTCTTCCAACAGAAGCTACCAGGTTGCACTGCTACGTTTCTACAGTAGCCCAGAATGGACAAACCAAACACTGGCTCTAGAGAGTGCCTTTCATGTTTTTACACTGAAGCCGTAGCTTGAATTTGGTAGCACTATGGCACCAGTTGAAAGACGTAGAAAGAAGAAGAACCAGTGGTTTCTGCCAGTGCTGGCTGACCATTTTGTGATGTGAGAAGTTCAAGAACCCAAAGTTTGACAAATGGAGGATTGTACTTATTATTTAGCACAAGATAAAAGCAAGGGAGGGTGAATCCTTGTTATCAAAGAAGCAAAAACATGAAGAAGCAAAATGAAAACAAGGATAAACATTGGTGTGGCTTTTCCCAGATGGAAATTGCTGATGAGAGATGAACGTATTCCACATGTGAAGTTGACAATTTTCTCCTGGACAGGTAATTTAGTGCACCAATCTAAATACAATTTGTTGTTTATCGGCTTTAGCTGGAACATGGCTAAATGTTGAAAAATATCTAATAGCTACCAAGATTGTAATGCACCTGACAGCCATGTATGTTCTACTACACACTTGGAAAGGGAGAGGTGAGGGAGGGGCATTCAATTGGTTGCAATCTGCATCCTCATCACTAGATGCGACTACATCTTACACACTGTACCTTTAAAGGAAAGGCGATGTAACACAGTGGTAAACATGCTCTCCCAACTTTTTTGGAACGTGTTGCAGGCATCGTATTTGGACTGAGCAAATATTTACAAAGAAGTGATAATGTTCATAAAGTCAAAGAGCAAATATCATGCTTTTCTACTGGTTTCAATTTAATACAGGTCAAACAAGAAAGAATTTGCGACTCACTGCTTTCTGTTTGTATTAGAGTTTCACTGACTGTCCCAACTTATTTGGAGTTGGGTTTGTATTTGTTGTTGTTAGGGGATCTATTATACTGCCCAGGCACACAATATGCATCCTGTCTTGAGCACAGCAAACAGAGTGGAAATCCATGACGTGACCAGACAGGCCCTAGGTGAGCTGGCATGGAATGACCTTCTTATGATTAAATAACTTACATATTAATATCGGAGTAATTACAGAGTAATTCATACTAGTCTCCTAAAGATCAACCTGCAGTTGAGGGGAAGAAAGCATTCCCGGAGAGCAAGCAAAACAGAAATGCACTAATATTAAAATGAACTCAGTCGGAAAGTTGACCTCAGCCGGACGCTGATTTCTTCCCCCTGCCACGCTACGACATCATAAAGATGCTTTGTGTTCCTGCCCTCCCTCCCTCCCTCTCTGCCTTTCCCAAAGTTCCTGGGGTACAAAGCGGGGTGAGTCGGGGGCTCTTACTGTTTGGGTCGTTTTTCTCCCGGATCCCGTCCACCCTCCCGTCCGGGTGGATCCGCAGGAAGTAGCCGCCGTTCTTGCAGTAGAGCCGTTTGGGTTCCTTGAAGTTTCCCGGAGGAAAGCCGCTGCTGCCTCCGTCCGCCGGGGCCGAGGGCAGAGTGGTGATTTCTCCGGTGGCCATCGCAGCCCTCTCTCGCCCTCTCGCTTTCTCGCTTCGCCTGGAGTTCCCTCACTCAGTCCTGCGAAGCCCTCTGTAATGCTGGAGCCCCTCTGCAGCGGCCTCTCGGCTACGCCGCCCCCCTCCTCCTCTGTTCTCTCGCTCCTTCTCTTCCTACTGAGGGAGAGAGAGAGGGAGAGGGAGAGAGACAGGGATTCTTGTTAACTCTCAGGTCACTGTTTACACTCCCTCACTCCACTGCTGCAGAACAGAGAGAGAGAGAGAGAGAGAGAGAGAGAGAGAGAGAGAGAGAGAGAGAGAGAGAGAGAGAGGGAGGGAGGGAGAGAGACAAAACTTGAAGAGAAAAAAAGAGAATAAGAGAAAGACTTGAATGTAAATAGAGAAAAAAGAAAAGGAGAAAGAACAAGAAAATAGTGAGAGAGAAAAAGAATAGAAAAAAGGGGAGATATGGGAGAAAGTAGAAAGTGAAAGGTTAATGGGGAGGGAGAGAGAGAATAAGACGAAAACATGAACATGAAAGGAGAAAAAAGTAAAAAAAGAACAAAAGACATAAATGTAGAGAGAGAGAGAAAGAAAAAGAAAGAGAGACAGAGAGAGAGAATAAGACAAACGATGAACATGGAAGGAAAAAGAAAAGAAAGGGGAGAAAGAAGAAAGAAAAAGGCTCATGGGGAGAGAAAGAGAAACAGACAGACAGAGAGAGAGAGAGAAAGAGAGAGGAAATAAAACAAAAACATGAACACAGAGTTAGAAAAAGGGAAGTAAAGAAGAAAGACATAAAGAAAAGAGAAAGAGAGAAAAACACAAATGATGAATATCAAAGGAAAAAGAAAAAGATAGGAGAGTCACAGTACAGGTGAAGTCGTACTGGTTTGGATCGTGCTGAGCTGCAGGCTCCGGCTTGTTCTGCAGCAGAGAGAGCTGAGCTGTGACAACGATGGTGATGATGTTGGTGGTGATGATGATGAAGATGATGATGTTGGTGGTGATGATGATGATCTGGTTGAGCCATACCAGTGAGTGTGTGTTTGTGTGTCCTCCTGTCCGGAGCTGAAGTGTTTACAGCAGCTGGCGACAGTCTGTGGAATATCTCTCTCTCTCTCTCTCTCTCTCTCTCTCTCTCTCTCTCTCTACCTCTCTCTCTATCTCTCTACCTCTCTCTCTCTCTCTCACTATCTCTCTCTCTCTCTCTCTATCTCTCTCTCTCTCTCTCTAAAGCTGTCTGAGAGAGCAAAGGGGAGGGTGCTTCTCTCCTGTTACGTTAAGCGCTCTCACTCAATCTGGTGCAATAAGGACTTTCCAGAAACTGACACCATCACGGCAACATCTCTGGCCTATGAGCTCTAGAGATGTTACTCAATTCGGTTCCAATCTCGTTGCCTTATTGGTGGCATGACAAATAATGATTTTACAATGATGATTTCACAATAATGAGTTTACAACAGTGGAGTCACACTTATTTTAGGTAAAGAGCCTAACGTCAAGTGGACCGGACCAAAAACAAATTGGTTTAGTGGGCCAATAACACAACACCACCTTATACATGTGTTCATTTTATCGTCATTTGTCTGAAAGTTGTGTTATATTGGCAAAAGTATGTGGACACCTGAGATTGTTATAAGTTTAAAAAACATTTAAAACCCTCAAAAGTTTGTATTTCTTTTCATTATTTTGCACTTTTTTGGCAAAATTAGAAAACTTCAGTTACACTATTACAGTCATGACAAGCAGACCAACAGAAATGTACAAAGCCCTGCTGGTGACATCCTATATTAATAAAAACAGTGAGGGGTCAGGCCATACTCGTGGGAATGAGATCCTAATGCATGGCTACAACTTAGTAAGATGTGCGAACGATATAATTAAGTTGTGGCTATGACTTAGTAGGGCATGGGGATGATATAATTAAGTCGTGGCCATGACTTAGTAAGGCATGGGAATGTGATTATTAAGCCATGCCCATGATTTAGTAAGACATGGGAACAATATAATTAAGTTGTGGCCATGACTAAGTAAGGCATCGGAATGATAAAATTAAGTTTTGTGGCCATGACTTAGGAAGGCGTGGGAACGATACAATAAATTGTGGCCACGACTTAGGAAGGCATGGGAATGAGATAATTAAGTCATGGCCACGACTTTGTAAGAAACGAGATAAGTAGGAACGAGATAATTAAGTCGTGGCCACAGCTTAGTAAGGCTTGGGAATGAAATCATGCCTCATTAAGCTGTGGTCAAGGCTTAATCATCTCATTCCCACAGCTTACTAAGTTGTGGCCACGCATTAGGATCTCATCCGCAGACCTTACTAATTATCTCACTCCCATGCCTTACTAAGTTGTAACCACGACTTAATTGTCTCGTTCCCATGGCTTACTAAGTTGTGGTCACACATTATTTTTATTTTTACAGAATGTCACCAGCAGGGCGCCGTAGAAGTGCTCCACAATTACTTGGAAAAAAAAATGTCACATTGACTTCCATTACAAGTTATTAATGCATTTCCTTCTTCTATAAAATTACCATTTTGGAGATACAAGGTTTTGTTCTGACAATGACTGTATATGTATTTTGTGCATACACAAGCTCTTTATTACATTACAGTTATGATGAAAATGCTGTTATGAAAGCTGAGTTATATGTTCAGGAAGGGTTTTACTGTATGAGTGTTACAGAAAATAATACCACACATCATCACTCCCACAATGAACCAATCAATCAATAAATAAATAAATAAATAAGTAAATAAGTAAACATTAAAGCAACACAATCAGCATAACTGCTGAAGCCCTGAGGATGTGTGTGGTGCCTCAATTACAATCACAGTGACCCCATCTCTACATCAGACATATACAAGAAGCCTCATTTAGGCAGTGAAGAGCTGATTAAAGCTGCACGGTGGAGAACATCTGGCTTCAAAGGAAATCTTAAAGGAGGTCCGCATGGACTCGGCGGGTTTTGACCGTTCCTGCCATGTGGTGGACGCTGCTAACCAGAGTCCACCACATCTGAGTCTTGTAGTGGGATCCATTTTAAGCGGTTCAGTGCAGGGAGACTTCCTAAGGTCAGGCTTTATGTCATTTAAAGAATGACCAAATGATGAGCCACAATGACGTCCATTGCAAGCCTTCCACTCTTCTTCCTGGAGACTGAAACCAAAACCGACTTTTCCTTTTAGAAATGCACTCAACACGGGTGCATGACACTGAGCTACTGGGACACATTAGTGTGGGAGGAACAGTAATTACAGACTGGACCGCCCACACACACATACACTGAACCACATACGTACACCCTAACACACTCACTAACACACATACACGGCCTTCATGCATAAACATGAACTTTCCACTTTCAAAGTTAGCTAGAGTTTGTTGGGGAAATGACTAAATAAGGCAGGTCTGCTCTTCCTAGCCAGCTGTTGTGATCCAGATAACAGAAATAGAATTAAAACATGTGTTCACTGATAAAAAGCCAACTACACTTTTTATATTAGATCTGGAACTATATGATGCTCCCTCCCACTCAATTCTGCAACCAGAACAATGGCCTTTCATATGCACATACAGTATATGGACCATTCTACCAAATTATGTCATAAACTGCAGGCCCACAGTTATAAAAAAAACTGTTTAAAAAGACATTTAAGTATTCAGACCATAGATATTTAAAAGGAATATGTTATGATATATTTAAACCCAAGGCATTAATTGAGGCAGTAATAAGCTAAATATATACAAAATCATCATTTATAGGGTACTTTCTATTGGGAGGTGTCTGTCTCAAAGCCTAATCTCTAAATTTACACTTAAGAATAAAACTTATATTTAAAAAACAAAAAAATAAACAAAAATATTTTTTTATTTCTTTTAAAGTGAAGTTGAAAGATTTTGATTTATCATGAGTTTAGCTTAAAAAAAAAAAAGAAAACCTAAAAAAATGCTGTCCCATGTTTTTACATCACTACCGAAACACAAAGAGTTTTACCCCATAGGCGGAGCCTTATTTTAGCCACACCCCTATATTTTAGATCAGGAAGTGAGCCTGCATCCCTGTCTCTCATGGCCACATGGTGAGCAGTTATTTCCCATTATTTTGAAGTAAATGTGTCCCAAAGCCTGAAAATCAGTGTGCAACATTAAAAACTGTAACTAGCGAAACACATATTTTCTTCACTTCAGTCAACGTTTTTGTGTTTTAATGAAAAATGAAAATGATGATTTTATATGTGTACATCTGTTCAAAGCAGTGTTGCTGGTCAGGGTTTTTGAGTTCTGCTCAAAATTAGCTAAATTTGTCACTACCGAAACAATCACTACTGAAACATTTGGTAAAGTCTCAGTAGTGTTACGATTGTTTTGGAAATGACAAAATTGAATGTTCAATTATTTATTTAAAAAAAATAAACTTAATTAAGATTTAGGGTCACTCAAAGCAAAAGTCTTTTAGTCTAAATTCCAAGTCATTTGAAAGTCTGAAACATGTTTTTAGCTCTGACTTTGAAATAGTAGAATGATCTGTATATAGATATAGACGTATATCAGATATAATACATGTATACATATACACATACAGTGCTATACAGAATACTATACTATACAGAACATATACAGTACTGTGTAAAAGAGGCCACCCTTTCCTTTGTTCAGTTTCGAGTCAAAATGACTATTAAGTACCAGTTATTCATTTTACAGTGACAAAAACTTTTCCATACTTCCAATTTTAAAACCAACCAGTTCTAGCTGTGACATTGCAACAAAAGCTTTTCCAAATGCAGTGACATTATGACAAATGACATAAGCAACTACCCAAGCTGCATTAAAAATTCTAACATGGCTAAAGGAGATTAAAAGATTTTTCCAATGTATGAAGATAGCTCAATGTTGGTCTAAAAGGATGTGTAGCTGGGAAAATAGATAAAAAATAAGCTAATTTCAACCAAAACACTGGACATCTGATATGTATATTAAGGGTTTGTGGACTGACAAGACTAAATTTGTAATTGTAATTAGCAGAAAGTGCAACCAACTTCGACGACTGAACTTAGGATGTGTGGAAAAATATCTATGAAAAACTGAAAATCTTCTGAAAAGAATAACAAAGGCAAAAGGTGGACACACTAAATACTGACTAAAGATGTGATGTATTTAATGCATCGATGTGATTTTCTGTTAAGTTGTTTTATTTTTTCTTGATGCTTAAAAATGAGTAACTTAGTGTTTCATTTGATGTGGAACAAACTATTGAGGCAAATTGTTATAGCTAAGTGCTAAAGATCCAGGAGATCCTGCAGAGATTAGCTCTAAACATTCCCTAACATGCCTGGTTCTAATTTTCAGCTCCTAAAGACCAGCCGTCTGTTTGAATACTGTTGTTATCATGCCCTCACAACTGTCCACACCTTCTTCTGTCATAATTATTATTATTAATAGTTAGTATTAATTAGTGTTAATAAAAGCAGAAGAAAACAATAATGACACAAATAATAATGGCACATGGCAGTCATTGTACAAAGCTTTATATGCTGTAAATATGTATATTTATATGTATATATACTGCCCTTTAGTACAAGGACTGTCATGTACAGTTATTTTTGTTATTGATGTCTTATGTATATATATATATATATATATATATATATTTATATTTATATTTATATGTATATATAAGAAACAATCAAAGAATTTCTTATAGGTTGAGTTGTTTACATCCATATCTACATGTATATAGTCTTATGCACAAGTTTGGATGCCAAAAACCTTATATTATGTAACGTGAAGCTTAAGTATAATATGCCATCTGTATACACTTAGTATTCTGTCCAATATTGTTAAATATATGTGCTACACATATATGTTTGCATTTGTTGATATATGATTGAAATGTATGTACTACATTTGAAAACAGTCCATTTCAAATAAGCTGGCATATCTGTCATATATATGTCTGTATGTGACAGATATAAAGTAATATAAGGGAAATCCATAGGCCTATATTGTAATATGTGTCATATATATGTGCCATATATTTGAAATCCATGTATTGCCATTTATCAGATTTCCATATGGGAATGTACAAGACCATATATACGCCTAAGAAATAATACTTCAAAATACTGAATGCTTCAAAACTATAACTATTTATCACATTCAAAATGGCACTGTTCCACCTGTTATGTGGCTGCAGATGCAACAGCATTACTGTACTGTGCTAGCTTGATAGTCAATGGCTATGCAGCTAGCAACAACAGAAAAGAAGGGAAATGCATGATGGTTCTTATTCTAGGTCTGAAGCTTAAATCAGACCGTAAGGTTTAAATGTAATATTTAGATCAGTCCTGTACTGAAGGTTTCTGTTTTGTGGTTTTTGGTACCTGCTGAAGGTTGGTACGATTGAAAGTTCCTAGAGTGTGTTCTGCTCCACCTTGGGTAACGCTAGCAGCTGAAGCCAATAACCATTTAGTTAATTCTTCACTGTTCTAGGTGAAGATAAATGACCAGTAAAGCAGCAGAATGTGAATTGTAAGTTGATGTGTTGATAGCTGTTTTGTGAAGAGGCTGTTTTGTAAGGTGACAGGCTAGTTAGGAAGCCAACGTTTTTAGCATTTGCGCCTAGCCTCCAGGTGTTTTTGGTTATATTTTTACACTCAACAGAGAGATACATACTTTGCATAACTCTGCACATGATTATGTGAAATTGTAGACATATGTGCGAGTGTGTGTACGGTGCAGTATGTCATTTCACATTAGCCAGTAAGCTAAGCTAACTACAACTAACAAGCAAAGTATAGCCAAAATAGATGCTGTTGAGTTCTATAAAATCATCAACAAGACAATGATGGTGCTTTCAGCTGTTAACTGCTACAGCATTGCAACCCTGCTGAAAAAAAACATAAAAACCATAAAGTATTTTTGTTGGTTCCAGTGGTTTTGTAATGTGTTTTGGCTTTTTGATGGGTTGATCATAATGTAAAGGATCCTAATGGTGTAACAGGTGACAAATTGCTGATTCTAAACGCATTTGATAGTTTCCTAATGGAATCCAAAGGTGTTCTACGGGAAACTAGTGCTCTCTATAGGATACAAGCCAGTTCCTATTAGAAAAGCAAAAACATTGGGTTTTAATCCCAGTGGTTTCTAATAGTCCTTTTTCAGCAGGAAGGTCGCCAGCAAAACCAGCATATGTTGAGCTTTGGATGCTGGTATGCTGGTCGGCAAGCATGACCATCCTAGGTGACCAGCTGAACCAGCACCAGGCTGGCCAGCTAAACTAGCACCAGTTCAGAATACACTGGAATACAGACTGATTTAAACTCAAGTAGGTGGAAAGTAACCAGAACTGTGAGTCCCATTGGATCGTGTTCAGGTCAGTTCTTGTTTTTGAATGTGTAGTGGAAAAATACCCTAACTGACCCATCTGAATCTCTTGGGGATGTTTCTTAGAGTTGGATTAGACCTAGTCTTGGACTATTTTTGCAATGCCAAAGGTCTTCAATAATTAAAAAGCCTAGAAAGTCAAGGCTCAATGTGTTTCAGCTTTTCGTGATGAGCTGATATCACAGTGTAGAGGAGCCTAATGGTGTACTAGGTGATCTGTGACTGATTCCAGGCACATGGTTTTCTAGTGGGATCTAAGGGAGAAAACTATGTCCTAAAGAAAACTATGGGTCTCGAATGGTAGCTATTAAGCCAAGTCCCATTAAGAAGCAAAAGCAGGCCATTTGCCTTCAAAACAAGCCCCTGTCCTGACAAACAAGATGTGTTTTTGAGGAAATTAGAAATTCCTTTTCCGCTTGTGAATGTAGGAGTGGGAAGGTGTGTCACAACGTTGAATACAGACACAGAAGCAAATATTACAACACAGAAAAGACAAACACAGACCAGACAAACACATACAGCTATGACTAAACAGGGCAGGATTGTATCTGTGCTTCACATCCACTCAGAAACACAAACACAGTACAGCATCTCTCTGACAAGAGGCTCAGATAACTACCACAAAGATCATGGGCTTTTAGGGGAATCCCTGCATGTGTTACTTTGTTAGATACAGAGTACATAACTCTTGTAGATGGTGTACAGTCTCAAGGCTCTTAGCCCTCATACTGTATAAGTGATGTAATGTAGCTGGCATAATACTATAGCTCTATTTATTTGCATTCCCAACACTTGTAACTGTGAGTGAATGAATGAAATCTAGTAAAATGTTAAGTACATTGTTTTACCTCTTGTTCTCTGTGTATCTGGCGCCCTCTTGTGGCTATATTTACCTATAGGCAATGGAATTGCAGCTCTTGTGTGCTATCTTGCATTGCACAGATAAAATAAGTTATAGCAATACTGTTATTACAGTATGGTTATAATACAGTATTATAATACATTATTAAAATACAATATAATTGATGCAAATAATACAAATTAATAAAAAAGATGAAATGATTAAAGAATAGATAACTAGTAAAATAATAGTAAAATAGTAAAATAACAATAAATAAATGCAAAGTTTTATTATAAAAAATTAAAATAAAGTACATCATGCTTGTTTTGTCATTTGTGCTTTATTTCATTTAATTGCAGAAATTTTCTTTAAAATTTATGTTTAGTTTAATTTCGTCTTGCTGTTTTTTATTTTTTTAATTTTATTTAATTTATTTCTTTTTATTTCAAATAAAATCTATGTATCAAACATACGGCAAAGGACAATATATAATATTTTACAATATTTTTTATTTTTAAATAATAAATTATTTTAAAAAGTATTATGAGGCATATTTTAACATCATCATATTCTTTGACACATTTTTTTTATATATATATTATGTTATTTTTCATTCAAGTCCTTAATACTCAGACAAAGTCCTTTGTTTGATTTCATTTTATTTTATTTCGTCATGTCTGCTTGCATCATGCTCCAGTCTCCGCCCCTCATCATCCGGAACTAACTCGTGACTTTCGGCTGTTTTCGCTGTAGCCGCTTCAGCGCCGCTTGGTGTTTTTCGCCATGGGGTCTTGAAGATAAACGCCGCTCTGCCGAACAACAAACACCAACATTTCCCTGAGCACCACCCGAAGACCGAGCACACACACACTGAGCTCCGAGAGACGAGATGTGGCGAGTACAAGGACTGCTGGGCAGAGGTGAGTTCAAACTGCAGCCTCGTATAGTTAGTTATTGTACTGTGTGTGTGTGTGTGTGTGTGTGTGTGTGTGTGTGTGTGTGTGTGTGTGTGTGTGTGTGTGTGTGGCTGCGTCCTAAACCGCGTACTAACAAACTTCATAGAACCTACAAATAGTAATACAGCCGCAGCGGTAGCGCCTTCAGGGCTGTAGTCTGGATGAATGGAAGTGTGCGCTTTTTCGACGCAGCCTGTGTGTACGGTCGTGTTTTTAGTGGTTTGTGGGGACGAGATGTCCGCAGGTTGGTGAAAACATGAGCGTTTTGACGTTGTAGGGACATGTTGCTGCCCCAAACGGGGAAACCCCCACGCCCCCCCCCCACTCCAAAAAGACACACATACAGCTTTTATTACAAAATGTAAGTGTGTAGTTTGGTGGAAGTGCGATCAAGTTTCGTTACATAACTGCTATTTTTCTTAAGGCTTTATTGGGCACCGTAGGGAGCTCAGAGGGTCACTCAGTATCAGTGATCTCTTAATGTGAATGAAGGACTTACATGATGGACTTTACAACAGTTAGATAACGAGATGTAAGCTGTAGTTCATTAAACCCTGTGTGGGTTATAGTTTGAGTAGTTTGTTCAACCCTATGTGGGCTGTAGTTTGTTCAGCACTATGTGGGCTGTAGTTTGTTCAACCCTATGTGGGCTGTAGTTTGCTCAACCCTATGTGGGCTGTGGTTTGCTCAACCCTATATAGGCTGTAGTTTGCTCAGCACTATGTGGGCTGTAGTTTGCTCAGCACTATGTGGGCTGTAGTTTGCTCAACCCTCTGTGGGCTGTAGTTTGTTCAGCACTATGTGGGCTGTAGTTTGTTCAGCACTATGTGGGCTGTAGTTTGTTCAGCACTATGTGGGCTGTAGTTTGTTTATCTCTATGCAGGTTGTAGTTTGTTTATCTCTATGCAGGTTATATTTTGGTAGTTTATTCAACTCCGTGCAAGCTGTAGTTTGTTTAACTCTGTAGGGTATAGTTTGGGTAGTTTATTTATCCCTATGTAGGCCACAGTTTTTTCAATCCTGTGTAGGCTGTAGTTTGCTTAACTCTGTAGGATATAGTTTGGGTAGTTTGTTTAACCCTCTATGGGCTGTTTAACTATGTAAGCTGTAGTCTAGCTCAATGTTGGGGATAGTTTGGGTAGTTTGTTCAACCCTATGTCGGCCGTAGTTTGCATAACCTAATGTGGGCTGTAATTTGTTTAATCTTCTGTTGGCTGTAGTTTATTTAACCCTAAGTGGGCTGTAGTTTAAGTTTGTGGAGGGTATACTTTGGGGTTTGTTTAATTCTATCTAGGCTGTAGTTTATTTAACCCTATTTAGGGTATAGTTTGTGTAGATTGTTCAACCCTATGTAGGTTGTAGTTTGTTTAACCCAATGTTTGCTGTAGTTTGTTTAACTCTGTGTAGACTTTAGTTTAACCCTGTACAGGGTATAATTTAGGTAGTTTGTTTAACCCTGTCTAAGCTGTAGTTTATTTAACCTTGTGTAGGGTATAGTTCGAGTGGTTTGTTCAACCCTATGTAGGCTGTAGTTTGTTTAACCCAATGTTTGCTGTAGTTTGTTTAACCCTACCTGGGCTGTAGTTTGTTTAACCCAATGTTTGCTGTAGTTTGTTTAACCCTATCTAGGCTGTCTTCCAGTCTTCCAGGTTATTAGCCTGTGTTAAATAACTCATGTGTCTTATAATGCAGAATGGTTATTAATTAATGCTCACTCTCGTCGTTGTCCTGCTCTTTCGCTGCAGCGTTGAGCCGTTGTCATGGGAACGGACCGCTGCGTCTCTCGAACGGTCACCACGTAGAGGATGAGGTCATTAGCTCCTCAACGGTCCTGTCCACCAGCCGCCACACCTCGGACAGCAGGTATTTAGCTACTCATCCACTCATTACTCTTATCTGTACACTCCTCCTTCATGAAGTCGTGCTTTCACTCCATCACTCTCTCTATTGTCCCTGTAGCTGAATTGCCATGGCTTGTTGCTATATTTGCTTCTATGTAAGCAGATAGTGGAACGTATTCCCTGTTAAAAGAATGAGCCATTCACAATTATAGCCATATATTGTGTGAAACAGATAAAATAATGTAATCAAACCTTCGACCTTTGGTTTGATACTCTCCTGTAAAGATTTCATGTGGTTGGTATAGTGTAGTTGGTAACACCTCTGCCTTCTACGCTCTAGATTGGGGTTCAGTCCCCGCCTGGGTAAGCACCCTGCACTATGCCAATAAGAGTCGTTGGGCAAGACTCCTAACGCTACCTTCGCCTACCTGTGTAAAATGATCCAATTGTAAGTTGCTCTGGATAAGAATGTCTGCCAAATGCCGTAACTGTAAATGTAAATTTCAGAAAACTAAGGCCAGGTTTCCATCCAGCTGTCAAATTAAATATGAGCGATAACCTGAAACGTCGAAAGACAATTTTGCAAATTAGGCCATAGAAGATGCTAAAACTCTGTTACTTTTCTCAAACACATTAAAAAAAAATACTGATTTTATAGGCAAATGTTTATTATCAAGCAACTTCTCGTTGTTCTTTTGTTTACATTTATGTCCACATTTTTGCATTGTGCAAGTGTATTGGCAAACATAATGGCTCAAGAAATGTCCACTAATCAGCTGCAGGCACCTTTGTTTGTGTACCATCTATTATCCCAGTTTTCCCTTTGATAAGATAAGGGTGCACTTTGATTTCTTCGTTAGTCAGCATGTACTTGCCACTTTCATAACTAATGAAACTGCTGGGCATAAACACCTGAACAGTCATATGATTTTATTTTATTCATGTTTGTATTATTTATGTGCCCAAAGTTTCCATTGTAATTCCTCTGCCTCTCTCTCAGCTCTCAAAGAGGCGAGGATGGAGAACAGAATAAGAAGAAGAAAAGAACGTCTCAGTTTTGTTATGCTGGTCTGGCACGATATTCAGCGCTGGATGCAGTGGGCTGGGTACCGAACACACATTTTACACTCTCTGCTTTGGACTGTCCACTTCATTATGTACATCTTCTTGTAACTACACTGTTTGTCCATTTTATCAGCTCCACTGTATCATATTTTGTAGTTCTGTAATTACGGACTATAGTCCGCCTGTTTCTCCGCACAGCCCCCTTTCACCCTGTTCTTCGATTGTCAGGACCACCACAGAGCAGGTATTATGTGGCTGATAAAATGGACGATGAGCGTAGAAACAAGGTGTATTTAATGAAGTAGCTGGTCAGTGTATAGTAATAATGCTTAATGGAACCCAAATTTTGAATAAAGGTTTTTTTTTTTGTTTTTTTTTAAAAGAAAAGCACAGTATTGTAATGACCATCAAAATATTTTTAAGAATACAGTTTTTTTTTTTTTATGAGTATAAAACGTGTTTCACCCACTTCATTGAGTCACACTTGAAGACGTACTTTCTGCTTGCGCATTAATGTGACTGGCCTGTTTGTAGGGTGCTGCGGCGGTTCTGTTCATGCATGTCTGCAGGAGGATCCACTCTCAGTTCTCGTCTGTGGGCGAGCAGAGCGCAGGACCACCACGCCTCAGAAAGCCTGGCCTCATCCACAAATGCACCTACAGGATTCTGCTCGACATATGTGAGTACTGTTGGTCATTATACGGTCCAGTCAAACACTATGGATTACTAAGTGTCATACTTAGCTGGTGCAAAATATGTTTTAGAAGTCTACAAATGTCTGCTTGCTGTGTAACACTGAAAAAGTAAAATAAGTATTTTAAATATGTGATCAAATCTTGGAGCGTTTAACTTGACAAAAATATTGTAAATTAGTAATTGCAGTATTGTTATCATTTAAGAAGTTCTTGCATTTCCTGAAACATTAGAAAAAGCGAAAAAAAAAACTAAAAATGGTTTGATGTCTAGTTTATAGTGTTTAAATCTCTGTTGTATTAGTCACTTTTGTATATTAACTTGTATGAAATTAGTCAAACTTTTGAACAGTTGTGTATTTGATTCAACACCCAAACAACCTACAGAACAACAGCTCTCCAACATCTTGGACTTTATAAATTTGTTTGTTTTTCTGCTTATATTTCCACTATATATGACTCATGAAGCCATTTAGAGTCTTAAAGGAGACATCCACTGATCCTTCAAAATTTATCGATGTTTTAATCATTTAAAAGTAAAACTGAGTGGTTTTATATGAAATGATCCATTTACAGAAACTTGCCAAGAATTGGATGATGGTGATTGGAACCAGACGTCGAAAGCGTTTAAAGCCTCTAAAAGCTCCCTTAGAGAAAGTCAGTATATGAAATGGTTAAGAATATGTTGCCACAAGCCTCAGAAACTGTTTTACGGTAATTGTGAAATAAGCTTTTAGCCTAAAACATGAAGTCCATTCATGGCCAAGAGATACTTGCAGGGTGCTGTAAGGCAAAATAGTTCCCAAATGAAGCTTACTTGTTTCTGATTTACCACTATTTTACCATCATCAGCTTTACACTAAAATCTCAGGAGGCATGTGTAGGTTCACTGGCAGTTTGGGATATCAAATAAAATAGCTTTATTTGAGTTGTAGACATCATGACCCCTGGTTCCTGTCACCATCACTGTAAAGAAATCAGAGTGGGTAAGTTTCTTTACAATAAACCATTTCACAGCAAACCACTCTGAATCATTTTCAGTGTCAGTGTCAACATCAGACTTAATTATGCAGCAATTTTGAAAAATCAGCATCATTGGAATTCCCATTTGAGAGAGGCCATATCAGCTGCTTGTGTGCCCACACTGTCTGTGGTTTTATGTTGCACGCACAGTCAAAAACGTTACATACAATCAAATTGCGTAGATTGATTATTTATTTATTCATTCATTCATTCATTTATTTTTGTCTGCCACTATTCATGCTTTACTCATACACCCAATCAGATAGATGGATTCTAAGTTGGTACATCCATACATTTAAATAACCACACCTATTTCTGCTAAAGTACATTCATGTACACTGTTATATTCTCTTTTTCTTCCATTCCTTTTTTGTTCACTCTCACACAGTGTCCAGGCGTGATATGTTGCCCAGAGGAGTGAGTGTGATGTGTCTGAAGGGGGCACTGACGAGCCCAGATCAGAGTGACAGCAGTGGGGGGAGCAGCAGCACTAACGCAGAGCCTGTCCCTGACCTGCACACTGCACAGACCTCCTCCCAGCAGACGGAGACACTCAGCCACAACAGCAGAGGTTACTTTGAAAGCTTCAAATGAGAGAAAAGCACATGCCCCTCCAGGGATCTGTGTATATTGATAAATGGGCTGGATTCACAAAAGTGTCTTGAAATAAACTCTAAACTTTTTCACCTTCAAATAAGAAACAAGCTCAGATAGATTGTAATTCTTCAAAAGAGGTCTTAAGGCTGACTTTATATGGTGACACTTTGATGCAACTAGCAATTTGGTTTCATGTATGGTTTCAAGCAACTAGTTGCATGTAAGTTTTACCGTGTAAAGCCAGCCTTAGAAGAGCAATCCAGAGAAAGCTTTTGTGGATCTGACCCAGGTCAGTGAAAGGCAGATTATTTGTGAGAGATTTACAAGTGTGGTCTCCTTGAGTTTCATCTCAGCTATTGGAGTGCACACTTATAACCCCCTCCCCCTCCTCCTCCTCCTCCCCCAGAATAAAGGTCATCAATAAGATTGGCATATGTAGAGTACTTTAGTCATAGGATTCCTAATATCCATCCATCCATCATCTAAACCGCTTATCCTTCTGGGTCGCGGTGGGGCGCTGGAGCCTATCCCAGCTGTCGTTGGGAGGAAGGAAGGATACACCCTGGACAGTTCGCCAGTCCATCGCAGAGGATTCCTAATAAAGCACTTATTTACATACTTAAAAATTATCTTCAATTATTGTTCAGTTTTTGGCATAATTTGAAAATCCCTGTTGTCGTTTACATTGTGTGTAAATTTGGTAAACATTATAAATGGAAAAATTACCAAAAAATGACTTGGAAAACAGTCTGGTTCCATTGACTTACATTAAAAGTAAAGTATGTTTTTTCCTCCTCTGTAAAGTTACCATTTTGGAGATGGACGGTTTTGTTTCGACAGCAGTGAAATATATACACATACACACAGATAACATAAATCAGTCTGAAGAACCCTTTAATCCTGCAAAGCATTCTTTGAGTGTTCATGGTTCTACATAGAACAATTTTCTTTACTAAGGAACCCTGGAAGAACCATCAATTTTAAGTTTGTATGACTTAATATTTGTATTGCATTTGAAGACAAAATTGGGAAATATATAAAAAGCCTGTTGTGTGTTTGTGTCTTACAGAAGAAACTTCCCCCGTTGTGACGGGAGCAGCAGCTGCTAGCCATGAGCAGCCACAAGAAAACCACAAATCACGCTCTGTGGACGAGGCTGTGCAGAATCTGAGAGATGTGGCAGACAACAGCGTTCCTATAATCCTCAACATCATCGGTAATGACGAGTGCAGAGCAGCTCATAATTTTGTATTCTTTACTATTATTACTGACTGTAATCAGTTTAGAGTTTAGCTGAACTGACATTTTGTTTTTTAAAAGAATATGATATGTTTTCAGTTTTTAGGTATGCTCATCAATATTAGTTTTTATTCAGATTTCTATAAAGAAAAATGTAGCAGATTTTTTTTGTTGTTGTTTTCTCAAAGCTCACACTGTGCAGCTATATGAACACATGACATTATTTGCTCTTTAAACTGGCATTTTAAATTCCTAAACGTAAAATCTGTCATTTATAGCCTCTTTACATCGCAGGAATCAAATAAAGTGCTGCTTTGAAAGTAAGGAGTGACTGTCTTTGGACACTCCTAGTCAAAAGACATTTTATTGATGTTCTAAGTGTAAATAAGTTAAATCGTCCTCTACAGGGAACTGAAATATGGCATTTTCTGCATATTTTGTTGCAGACTTTAATTTCTGTTTATTTGCTGAGTTTAACATATTGGGGGAAAAAATGGAACATAAACTATAAAATGAATTATAACTTTTGCACAGGTCACATTTTAATTTTACTTTTTGCTAAGTGTGCTTTAAGTTTGTTCTCTGTAGAGTATGAGTTTTAAAAAATCAACAAAATATGTAATTTTACTTTGAATATAACTTTGTCATCAAACTGCAACACAGATCGGCCAAAATTAAATTCGTATTTGTTGGATAATTCTGGTTATGCATCGCTGTTTACCATGTTAATATATTGTCGCTGTCCAAAGGAACGTGTCTCTGAATTGGTAACTTTACAAGAGAAGACAAAAACATTCTTATCTTTTAATGTACGTTTATGTAAGAGAGTTCATTCCAAGTGATTTTGGAGCCTTTCTATTGGGCCATTAATAATCAAATTTTCGCACAATTTATAGGTCAGCTGCTGCGTTTAAATGATATAGAAAAATAAAAATCGAAGCAAATGAAGATACGTGTTTTTCTTTGGATGGCGATAACATGATGAAAAGATGCATTAGTCTTGCAGGCTTTCTGTAGGTGAATCTTTCTGCAGCTAAGCTCATTTTTCTAGTTAGAATTTAAGCTGTTGCAGAATTTTGAACGTCACAACGATCTATTTCCACTCGCTACTAGTGACATTTCCTGTGAGGTCACCTCTAGTGCTTTTAGTGCTGCAGCGCTATCCACTATAATTTTGCCATTTCCTGTATGCTAATATGTCCGTCCTGCTCTGTGTGTCTGTCTGTGTGTCCATCTGTCCATCTGTGTATGTGTCAGGTCTGGAGAGCGCTAAAGCAGGTGATTATGAGGCAGCGTTTGAATGTTTTCTGGCCTCGGCCCAGCAGGACTACAGCAAAGCTCAGTTTAACGCGGGTGTGTGTTATGAGAGAGGCCGTGGAGTCAGTAAAGACCTCAGTAAGGTAACGTGGAGTGATTTCACAAAATTAAAAAATTGATTCAGTATGATACAGTGGTGTCTCACTTCAGTACATTTTTAGTTCAGCAACAATAAGGAGGAGCTAAAAATGCGTATAAAAGAGACTTTCACTGATTTTCTTCAAACCTTCTGCATAATTAAGTCAGTGAGGAGTAAACAGAGATTCGGAGAGGTTCGATGAGAAATGCTCCATTCTATATATAATATAATACATAAATTTAATCTTAAAAAACACGTGTAATAAGTTTAATGTGTTCATTTTGTTTTTTTCTTTGCTCCACTCTCTGTGTAGGCGTTGCAGTATTACAGATGTGCAGCAGCAGCGGGTCACAGACAGGCTCAGTACCGCTGTGCTAAACTCCTCTTGAACAGCCGGGGGCAGCAGAGCGCCACAGATGCAGACACTGCTACCGCTCTCTCTCTGCTGCACAAAGCAGCAGCCGCTGGACTCACTGAGGTACTGAGCAGATAGGAGAAAAGACTCATTTTATTCTATAATTTGTAATTGTGCTTTTACGTAATTAAATGGTTTACGTGTAACAACAGAATGTTTTAGCTTACCAGTGTTTTGCATATCTATTTGAAAATGGGAAAAAAACGCATTTGGATATAAAACCTCCCTCAACTTACGTCCAGATCTGTGTTAAGGTCAGTGTAGACTTGTTGATATGGTGAACTATAAAAATGAACACGAATGAACATCACATTCATGTTTCTGAGTCAGGCAGTCAAAATTCATCAGAACAGTTGCTGTCTAAAGTGTCTCCCTGTGAAGGTTTGTTCATTTTTATAGTTTACAGTAAGTCATACTGTGTCCTAAACCACGTTGGCAAGACCTGGAAGCTGCTTGAGCAAGTTGAGTTTTTCTTTTTACAGAAAAGATTAAGGTGACTATTGACTTCTAGTGTTTGTTAGCAACACTAGCTTCATAGCTCCAGCACTGAACTAAAATAGCTACATTTGGAAGATGTCTTGGCTGATTGACTTTTTTTTCAATTTTTTTTTATCCAAAAAACAGAACTACATGCAGAACTGCATGCATCATTATGAAGAGAGTATAATAAGCCCTGCTTAACTGTATTTAGTGCAGCACATTATGTGAAATGTTGCACAAACATCATTCATAGCTTGATAACAACTTTTTTAAATTGCATACTGGTTCTTTTTTTTTGTCTGTTCTAAATGATCAAATCTGGAAAAAGAAAAATCTTGATACTTGAATCTTGATTGTGTGTTGTGAAAATGTATTGAGGTACTACAGAGTTATTACAGAGTTTTTATTGACATTTGTACTCTTTCTCTGCTTTCTCTCTATCATTCTCTCAGGCTCAGCTGTACCTGGGCGTGTTATGTTCTCAGAACGCAGACGCTGATGGAGGAAAGTCTGCACAGTACTTCAGAATGGCAGCAGAGCGCGGAGTGAGACTCAGTACACCCCACATCTGTAATACACACTATATACACTGACCGGCCACTTCATTAAGTACACCTCCTGGTGTCTACACTGATTGTCCATTTTATCAGCTCCACTTACTATATAGGAGCACTTTGTAGTTCTACAATTACAGACTGTAGTGCATCTGTTTGTCTGCATCCATTGTTAGCCCCCTTTTACCCTGTTCTTCAATGGTCAGGCCCCCCACAGACCACCACAGAGCATGTTGTGGTACAGTTCTGCTGGAGTTTTTAAACACTGTGTCCCCTCACTGTCCACTCTGTTAGACACATTTACCTTGTTGGTCCACCTTGTTGAGACAGTAGCTCATCTGCTGCTGCACAGTTTGTGTTGGTCATCCTCTGGTCCTACATCAGTGGTCACAAGATGCTGCCGACAGTACGCTAATGGCTGGATATTTTTGGTTGGTGGATGATTCTCAGTCCAGCAGTGACACTGAGGTGTTTAAAAACTTCAGCAACACTGCTGTCTGATCCACTCGTACCAGCGCAACACACACAAACACGCAGAAACGTCAGTGTCACTGCAGTGCTGAGAATGATCCACCACCCAAATAGTACCTGCTTTGTGAGGGTCCATGGGGGTCCTGACCACTGAAGAACAGGGTAAAAGGGGGATAACTAAGTATGCAGAGAAACAGATGGACTACAGTCTGTAACTGTAGAACTACAAAGTGCACCTATATAGTAAGTGGAGCTGATAAAATGGACAATGAGTGTAGAAACAAGGAGTTTTTTTTTTTATTTTATTAGTTTTACATTTCATGGTGAACAGACTGATAGAAATCTGAAATAACATGAATGAAATAACATGAATGAATGGTGTGTGTTTGTGTGTCTGTAGGACAGTACCGGACTGCTGTTTCTGGGTCAGTGCTATGAGAGAGGGTTTGGGGTTCCACGGGGCTACAGAACTGCAGTGAGTCTGTATCAGCAGGCAGCAGCAAAAGGAAACCAGGAGGCCAAGAAAATGCTCAGAGACCTGCACAACAGGGAGGGTAAGCACACACGCATATATGGATCCATACAGCAGAAAGGACATGCTGTCAGATACATGGTTCCCAGTTCAGTCCTTGGAGAAATTTAGCCAGCCCACGTTTTTGTTCTATTTCAGCTTCTGACTAAAGATTATTTCTTTAGTTGATTCATCTGTCTAATCTATCTAATTGAGCCATTATGCAGTCATGTTTCATCTGTGCAAGAAGCAATTTCCTCTTTAATGGCGTTGCAAAATAACAGAAGCTGTATCGCCCCCTACACTTTCTGTGCTGTATTGCAATCTGTCAGAATAACAGCATATATCACAAGAGCATTAGAGAGCATTTTACAGGACTTTTGTTTTTCAGTGAATGTTCCATGACTGGTGTGTTCTTAAATGGTAGAGCGAGCATCACAGTGAACACTCTCTACCCATTAGCAGGGTTTGTGCAGATCCTTAAAAGGTCTTATAAAGTTTTAAAATACATATTAAAAATTTAAAGCCATAAAATGTCTCATCTTAATCTATTAGAGGTTTTGAATTTAGGGCTATCTGTTCTCGGCATATTACAGCATGAAATCGAGGCATATTCACCATCCTGTAGGATGTTTTACATATGACGTCCAATGAAACTAAAACTGTAAAAAAGACATTGCAAAATTGCAGTGATTTCACTGCAGAATATTACAGTAACTGTAACAATAACTGATCCTAAGCCAATATTAAACACTATTCAAGAGTCATTTTGAAAAAGGAGGCTAAAAAACAAAACACATCAGTCCAGAATGTCACATTATGTTATATCATACTAAAATAATTTTACAGTATTATTAATTTACAGAGTAGTATAATTGTACCTAAATTTTGCAGCTCTATCTTCTATGAAAATACCAATAGCGTCTCAGACTCTTTATTAGCTGATACTCAATATTAAAGGACTGTGATCAAATTGGGGCAAAAATTAAATCAGGACATCCCTGATTAAATGGGAAAATGATACCTAAATATTGTGATTGAATCTGAGTTATTGTTTATTAAACTAATCCAGAATAGTGGTCAAAAATGATCATTGATGAATTACTAGAAGAGAGCAGAACTGTGTAAAGGTTGAGTAATCTCAAATTATATATACACCAATCAGGCATAACATTATGACCACCTCCTTGTTTCTACACTCATTGTCCATTTTATCAGCTCCACTTACTATATAGGTTCACTCTGTAGTTCTACAATTACAGACTGTAGTCCATCTGTTTCTCTGCATACTTTGTTAGCCCCCTTTTACCCTGTTCTTCAGTGGTCAGGACCCCCATGGACGCTCACAGAGCAGGTACTATTTGGGTGGTGGTAACACTGATGTGGTGGTGGTGTGTTAGTGTGTGTTGTGCTGGTATGAGTGGATCAGACACAGCAGTGCTGCTGAAGTTTTTAAACACCTCAGTGTCACTGCTGGACTGAAAATAGTCCAACAACCAAAACTATCCAGCCATTAGCATCCTGTGGGCAGCGTCGTGTGACTACTGATGAAGGACTAGAGGATGACCAACACAAACTGTGCAGCAGCAGATGAGCTATCATCTCTGTCTTTACATCTACAAGGTGGACTGACAAGGTAGGATGGACAATGTAGGTTCCAGTAGGTTTGAACGAAATATGTTTAGTACATGCCGTTTTTGAGTGTGTGTGTTGGTATGCAGTGAAAATTGTATTATTTTTGTTTGTGTTGGTCTCAAAATAGTATTAAAAAGTCTTGAATTTGATTTGAAAAATTGTGCAGAAACCCTGGTTAAAATAATCTTAACACTAAGATGCTTTTTATAAACTGAGCCGTGTTTAAGCAGGAAAACTGTGATCGGCCTGCATCACATCTGTGTTATGAATGCAGTAAAATTAAAAATGGTGAGGTTCTCTAAGGACTGGACTGGAAAACTCTGTACTGACGCTCAATAACACATCCATTACATGCTAACTACATGCTTGTAGACTGATACTCACATGCGCTCTCTCTCTCTCTCTCTCTCTCTCTCACGCTCTACAGTCCTGCGCTCTATCCGTTCCGCTCCTTGTCTCTCCCTTCTGGATCAGCTGCATCTGAGTGCCATGTTTTCCCCAGTGTCGCAAGAGGCGGAGTCTGGCCCAAAGCATCCTGACTGGCCCACTCAGCCTCTTCCTCATTCATGGAGCACCGGAAATCTGATATCCCCGTCTGCATTCTCTGCTCAGACACTGAACGCTAATAGCAAAAGTGGAGGCTGGATTATAGGGGTGGGATAAAACATACACATACATGTAGATACATCCTCAAATTATACAAAAACACTTAAACATACAGAAGCAGGACCCGTATCATACGTTTTTTTACCCCTTGAGATCCACTTATAACATTTGTGAGGTGTCATGCACCAAAAATGGTCATAATTCACTTTTCATGACCATTTTCTAACCTCTCTCTATCTCTTCGGATTAAACAGGCTGTTTTTGTTACTGTGCCTTTAAGATTGATGTAAGATAAACAAGCTCTGTTCCGTATTGCGCCTCATTCAGAAAGCACTCCGAGCTGAAACACTCTTTCTAGCTTCAGTGTGAATGGGCGAGGCTAAACTGTTGTAACCTGAATAGGAAGATATATGATTAGTTGGTTATTGTGTTATCGCAGAAACAGTTAACTCAAAGCGGTACATTTGCTACATAATTTTCATATATGTTCAATTTGAAACCAATGTTTACACATTACTTTGAACACCTTTATTTCAAAAGAGCAAAGTCAGTCTTTTTTTTTTCTATGATTATGGGCCCTTTAAAACAAGCTGCTTCTCAACCCAGAAAAGGCAGTATTGAGCAGAACAGTGTAAAAAAATTCACTGGCCAGAAATGCCTTCACTCCACATCCTCGCCCTCTTGGCTTTTGAAAATATATTTTTGCCATTGACTTTGACCTACAGATGCTTGTTAGTGCCACCTTGTGGATATAAACTTCATATAAACACAACCAGAAATACATACATATTTTTGATCACTGAAAGATTATGAGTGCACAAGGACAAATAGACTTTCTCTGTAGCCCTGATAATTTGGGTTTATAAGGATGGAGCTTTTATCCGACAGTGGAATGTTCTCAGCCAATCAGGGAAAAGCTTGAGAGTTTTGAATGTAGAGAGAGACACATTGAGTGAGCGAGAGTATTGAGTTTAATGTTGTTTCTAAGAATGAATGTATCATTTGTTTTATCATTTTAAACACACACTACATGGCCAAAAGTATGTGGACACCTGACCATCACACCTGTATGGGCTTGCTGGACATTGTGTTCCAAAACCATGGGCTTTAATATGGAGTCATTATCCCTCCCCCACCAAACTTTACTGTTGGCACTGTCCATTCTGGTAGGTAGCGTTCTCCTGTTTCACAATACTTACTGTTGACCAGGGCAGGTCTAGCAAGGCAGCCATTTCACAAACTGACTTGTGGTAAAGGTGGCATCCTATGACAGTGCCATGTTTAAAGTCACTGAGCTCTGCAGTACAACCCATTCTACTACCATTGTTAATGGAGACTGCATGACTGCTCTTGATTTTATACACCTGTTAGCAGTTGGTGTGGAATGCAATAATTCTCACAAATTAAGAGCTCAATAATTAGGTGGAGTGTCCACATATTTTTGGCCACATAGTGTATAAGGGAAAAGGGAAGCCCTCCGTTGCATGTTTGATGTATTAGTATGCGTGGTGTAATTTTTTTGTTCGGAATTACAGTGTCAGTTTGAGGCGTTTTTGTATGGGATTACAGTGTCAGTTTGAGGCGTTTTGTATGGAATTACAGTGTCAGTTTGAGCTTGTTTGTATGGAATTATAGTGTCAGTCTGCATGTTTTTGTGGAAGAGCTGATGAGTATTTTTCTTCATTTTGCCAGTGAGCCATTTCAAGGGAGCTGCCTTTTGGCCACCTGTTTCAAAACTGGTTTTAACAAGCCCTCGTCCACTTGGCCTCACCATTTCTCTTTGGGGGGGATCCCCAGTGCCATCTTGAGGGCCATTCTATTAGTTTATTAGCTTGAGTGAAGGGTGTTAGACGAGCCTCGAATAGATGAGTATTTAATTCAGAAACAGTACGTGCCCAGAAATCACTGTGATTTGGCACTTTTCTTTTTTTAAAGTTGATGATGCAATGCATATGCTTTACTCTGCTAAGCTATTTGTAAGCAAGCTAAAAGCTACCCAGCTAGCAACAGCAAAAAGAAAGGTGGTACGTCATGGTTTTAAACCAGAGTTTATAGCCAGACGAAATGATTATTCACAAAATTTGTGTTAACTTTTGCAAGCCTGGCTATATAGCTCAATGAAGATGACCTAGCTGAAGGCGAGTGTACTCCAACTGAACAGTTCATTCCTCGCTGCCTGCTCTCCCCCTTCTGCTGTGAGTGGCCATTTGCTTAACGTAGTTGTAACGTTGCCTCCAAGTGGTCAGTCAAAGTTGGCGAGGTTGAGAATAGTATTGTATCGGGTCTAGCTCTTGTATTTTAGATGTCTGGTATAATTTAGACCAGTGTTTCTCCACCCTGGTCCTGGGGGCCCACTGTCCGGCACATTGTAGTGCTTTTCCTGCTTTAACACAGCCACTTTAACCCAATAATGGGCCGTTAATGAATTGATTAGTTGGATCAGGTGTTGGGCCTCTAGGACCAGGGTTGAGAAACGCTGGTTTAGACTGCAGGGCTTTGGCTGAATAGGCTATTGTTGTTAATGGGAGTTTGACAATAACAAATAAATGTGAGTAGCAAGTGCTAACTGGTCCCTATAACTTTCTCTCCTTGTAGCCTTATTTGGCTTCTCTGAATGATATTTTTTGCAACAATTAATGCATTTAGGCCAATATAACCAAACACTGTCCACTTTCATGCCAAAATTTGTAGCATGTGCCAAACAGTTTTCCAAAAGATGCTTGAATCTTATGTGCCTTTATGCATTTCCGTGTTTTCATAATTAGTTACACGACAGTAAATAAGCATTCAGTAAAGAAATCGGCCAAAAGAAGATGTTGCTGAAATCTGAAACCCTGTGTGCATTTGTAGCTGTAAATGGATATTTGTCTTTTCTGTCATTTCTGTGTCTGTGAATGTGAACTTCTGAAGCACTACTGTTTGTTAGACGCACACTATATTGCTTATTTTTGAATAAACAAACTTTTCTACCATGATGAACTGGTGATATTGATGATTCATTTCATGAACAGTGAATTTTGCATCTATACAGTTCAGTCACAGTGTATTTAATATAGTACAATATATTAAAATGTATTAAATGATAACAGAATATTAAAAATACATTAATCTATTCAAATGTGAATCTAATCTAACATTATGTCAGTGTATTTAATCTGCTTAAGTATATACTTTATATACTTAAAGTATTAATCCTGTTTAAATTTGTTATATTTAAATTAAAAAAAAATCTATCGGCATTATTGATCACTTTATCAGTGGAAACACAATTACGTCATCCACACAGTCCCGCATCTTGCGCTCAGCGCTCCGATTGGTCAGTCCAGTTCCTTTACTTCCCACCTGTATTCCGACAAACGCCGCTCTCTTGCGCTGGGATTGGCTGATAGTGTCCCGCCTCCTGTGCCGGGATTGGCTGTTGGGTCATACTCACGCGCAGTCTGCCGGAATACGGGTGAGAGAAACAATAAGGGTTCATGGGGACGCGCCTTCAGCGGCTGCATTAGCTAATGATTCACTTTACTGAATCGATTCTTTTTAACTACCTGTTTGGTATTTCAAATATAGATTGTTATATAGACAAAAGTGACAGTACAAACATTGCACGTGAGTTCCTGTAAGAGTAGGATGAAATTGTAGCCTGGACAGTGTCTCTGGTTGCTCGCGCTGGGTCATGAATCAAATGAATCAAAGCTTGCACAGTTTTATGTTGTCTACATAAAACCCAGTCTGAACACATGGATATGCCCTTTATGGTGCTACATAGAACCATGTACATGTTCTCCGTCAATCTGAAGAACCATTTCAGCATGCAAAGAACCATTTAAGCACGAAAGGGTTCTATATGGATCTCATGGTTCTAAATAGAACCATTCCCTTTTTGGAAGAACCATCTTTTTTAAGAGTGTACTTTTACAAGCTTGACCTCGCAATAGCACAACTCTTTTTGGTGCTACGTAGAACCATCCTCAAAAAGGTTCTATATAGAACCATGTACATCATGTTCTCCATCAATCTGAAGAACCATTTCACCATAGAAAGAAAAAGCCCGAAACAATTCTATGCAAAACTCATGGTTTTAAATAGAACCACTGCTTTACTAAAGAACCCTGAAGAACCACCTTTTTTAAGAGCGTAGCGGAAAGAGAAAACCTCGAGATTCGTTCGTTTGTGCGAATCGACTCACTCAAAAAAGAGTCGATCAGAAAGATCGGTTCGTTCGCGAGTCGCCCATCAGTAGCGGAGCGCTGGGAGGAGAAACGGAGACACACACACACTCACTCACACCGAGCCGCCACAGAGTGAGGCGTCACACTGCAGCTCTCCGTTAGCGTGTTTCACGCCGAGACGACGAGTCGCGCGCTTCTCTGCGGTAAGTCCACACACATGCACACACACTAACCGCCGTTCGGTCCGCGAGCCCGAGAGCAGCAGCTCGTGCCGATCCGTGCCAGGGCGGGACGATTGATTTATCGAGCCTGTATCGACTGTGCAGTAACTTCCAGAAACTGAAGGCACCGCTTGACGCTCGAGATGAACGCTTGAGGTGGTCTGCAGGCGCGCGAGCCGTGCACGGCGCGTCCCCTGCTCTCTGTGCTGTGTCATGCTTTGGTTGAAGCGAACTGCGACAGACAGGCCTGGACTGCTGCACGAGCTGCTGCTCAGCATCTCTCAGATCTCTCAGTAAGATCTCAGTCTCAGTCTCAGTCAGGCCACATCAGCTCTGTCCTCCCTGATACAGACCCTAATGATGGATTACGTCATCAGCATCATCCCAGTCCATCCAGCAGTGGACTGGGAAGTTCTCCACAGGCTGTTGCCTTCTTCTTCCTCTTTGCCAGCTCATCACTCAGTTTACAGTGTTTAAACCAGAAGAAAATCAGACTGATGGATATGAATATTACTGTTACTGCTACTATTGATAATCATAATGGTAATAACAGTGAGTTATATTGATATTTTATACTGGAATTAGCAAGAAAGAACTTTCAGGGCGTTCAAAGTCAAATAAAAATCTTTTGCAAAATAACTTGATTGGTGATTTTTTTTTAAAAACGATTAGTAAAATGTAACAGTAAATAATACTTTAGAATGGCATAGGAAACAATTTTCAAAATGAAACTAAAATGTCAGGCCTGGTTTTTTTTGTTTTTTTTTTGCATATCTTTTCTGTGGTTTTTACTATACAATAAAAAATTGAAGGTAGAATATTAATAAATATTAGTATTTCACAAACTCAGGATTACGTGATTATAACATTAGTAAGATTCAGGGTTTTTACAATAAAATCAAAACCATATCAGACAGACTTTTATATTATATGTAAACAATAGTAGTAATCATAATAAAAAGAAGAAAAACAACAACAACAAGTAGTCACTTTTAAATTTTTATTTTGGCATTAGCAAGATAAAAAGAAAAAACGTTAAAATTAGTTTAAAATGATGTCAGACCTGTTTTCACACACACACATACACACATATATATATATATATATATATATATATATATGCACAATTTATTTTTTGTGTTTTTCACGTTAAAATAAAACAACGGATGAAGGATATTAATAAATAAAAATATGTTTTTGTTCTACAGTAGCATTAGCAAGAAAAACTAAAACAAACAGAAGCCAGGTTTTCAGCTGAATTTATTGTCTTTTTATAAGTAGCTTTTAAAATACAGTACAGTTAAACAAAAAATGTAAATATATAATAAACAATACTTTACAAAAAATGAAAAAAAAAAATTTATAAACAAGCAGCAGGTTCTATTACAAGAAAGTGTAAGGAAGCAAAAAAGACATTTGCAGTAAGGTAAATGTCACATTGTCACCTGTGGCCAGTTGTCAGTTATGCCGACTTTTATACTCTATTCTGGAGCAGCCTCAGTTTTCCAGCACAGTCTACTGATGTATTACTTGGGTTATGGGAATTGACTGTTTGTGCTTATAAATAAATTATCTCATTTAAACTCCCTCCCTTTCGGATGCTTTCTAATGCACTCGGCCGGTTTCTAATGCACTAGTTCCCCTTCTCTCTGTCAGGAAGGACTCTGAGAGGATTGTGGTTTAGGCACCTGACTAACGTACAGATAATCTAACTCATTGGAGACCAGACGAGCTACCTGTAGCCTGTATTTCAATAGTTATTTCCTGTTGGTACTCTATAAAAGCTGCCTTAGAGACTTCACTCATTTTCATTTTGTCCTTTTTGTAGTTTAATAGGAGTACACTGTCAATGAGCTGCGTAGGTGTAGCAGCAGCATTCAAATACATTTTAATCAGCATACACAAATTACATCACAACATTGCAACACAGATCGGCTAAAATTAAAATAATACCTGGCCTATTGCTGATTGCTTGTTTAGAGCAAACATATCAATTCTGTTTTTGGTGAACTCCAGTCTTTCCTGATTCCGATCTTGCCCAATTCCTAAAATGCTGATTCCAATCTTGCCCACCTCTGCTCTTGGCCGAATCTGATCTTTCCCATTTCCGATCTTGGCCAATTCTGATCCAAGTTAATTTGATCGTGGAAGCTTCCGATCTTGCCTGAGTCCGTTCTTGCCCGTTACTATCTTGCCCAAGTCTAATCTTGGTTGATTCTGGTCTTGACCGATACCAATCTTGGCCAATGATGATCTTGCCAGAATATGATCTTGCTTGATTCTGATCTTGGGCGATTCCGATCTTGCCCAGTTTGATCTTGGCCATTTCTGATCTTCTGATCTTGAGTGCACTTACCCGACTCACATTATTTACATCATAATAATAAACTAGCTAATTTCTAATTGTTGGTTTGAAGCAAAAATCAACCAGATCTGTTCTTGGTAGATTCCAGTCTTTCTTGACTCCAATCTTGCCCAATTCCTAATTTGCTGATTCTGATCTTGGCCTGTTTCAGTTTTGGTTTTGGCCTTGATTCTAATCTTGCCCTACTTTGCTCTTGGCTGATTCTGATCTTTCATTTTTCCAGTCTTGGCAAACTTCGGTCTTGGCTGATTACAGTTTTGCCAGAGTCTGATCTAGCTTGGTTCTGTTCTTTGTTCATTCCCATCTTGCCTGGTTTGATCTCAACCAATTCTGATCTTACCCGCGTCTGATGCTGCTGAGCTCTGATCTTGCCCGATTCTGATCTTCTCAGATTCCATTCTTGACCGATTCCGATTTTAATTTGATCATGCATCCCTAGTCATTGTGGACCACAGGCCATATAAAATACCAAAAATATCTGAAATGGAGAAATTGTTCCTAACTTTACTGCATGTTGATTTAATCAGACTTTATTCTAAGTCGTTTTGGCCCATTTCTGTCTTGTTCTCCATATTCACACAATAAGAATTTGCATATGATGAAAGATCAAATAACGAGTTCTAAGGTTCTGAGATGACAGCGACGTTTTATTAATTAATAATTCAGAATACACTCTTACAAAACAAACTCATCTGCAGAATCTACTAAAATCTACTAAAAGACTCAAACCTTATCATATTTTTAGGGTATCTATGACAAATGCAATCTGTAAGGACACATTTTTAAAGCAAATCCTACACTAATCACTCTGTGCAGTCTGCAAGCCAACCAACATGAACTTCTACAGAACAGCAAGTCTTCTAAATGTGTGCGTCACTGTGGGCATGTAAGTGTTTATAGGGGCAGCTGCAGTAATAGTGCTATCTCATCACCTTCGAATGAAGCTTGTCTCTGTTCAGATCTGCTACCAACACACTTTCCACCAGCATGGACCACATACACCCCTACACCAACACACACACACACACACACACACACACACATACATACTTTTGATGTTTAAATTACAGATTTGTGTCTAATGTCCATGTTCGGACGACATGCAGTGTATGAAGGGCCTGTGCATATTTGTACATTTTATTGTATTATTTATTCGGCTCATTTGCTTATACAGAAATGACTGTGTCACTGCCTGCTTTGGGTTTATTTGTTTATGTTTAAAGGGCAGACGTGTTTGTTGGAGTTCTACCTTGGGGTGGTTTGCTGACTTTGCAGTCTCTGCAGAGGTGATCAGGTCCAAGTGAGCCATTTTCTCTCACGCACATACAAACAAACCTGAGCTGACTTCATTATGAACTGTGTTGACGCAGACATATAGATGTACATATAGATAGTTTGCTCCCGCTTTACTGCAGTAACAGCCTCTACTCTTCTGGGAAGGCTTTACAATAGATGTTGGAACATTGCTGTGAGGATTTGATTGCATTCAGCCACAAGAGCATTGGTGAGGTCATGTTCTGATGTTGGATGATTAGATCTGGATTACTCCATCTCATCCCAAAGGTGCTGGATGGAGCTCCGTCATTCCAGCCCAGTGCGCGGGGGCTTTATACCACTCAAGCTGATGCTTGGCACTGGGCGTGGTGAACTCAGGCTCGTGTGCGACTTCTCCAGCGCATACCATTCTATTGGCACTTCTTTTCTATGGACAATATACAAACAGTGGGTGCACAATTGAATACATACTTTTGGATGTTTCTGTCGAAATATGGTCTGATATTAAAGGGAGACCGTGAAATGTAACCATATCTACATCTGTTGTAAACATGCTTACTTATATCCTACAGCAGTTCCACAATAGTCTTTAAAGTGAGGTTTTTTCAGTTTAAAGACTAGGAAAAGCCACTTCTGATGATGTATCTAGAACGTGGGAGGAATATTTGGAAAACTATAATTGCTTTGGGGTGGGTTTTTGGGGTGGGCTACCACCTAACAGCTAACATTACTACTAGGAAGCTAAATGTCTTCTATAACTTTAATAACGTTTGAAACTGATATTATTGCGAAGGAGAGAATGGATTACTAAACTAATAGAAATGGCTTGTCAGATGAATAGATCAACATGCTAAAAGCTAAAGTTAGCCAAGTATGGCCATTTAGATACCTTACCTCAGTTTGGCTTCTTTTCTTTGACTGAAATGGTAAAAAAATGTGTTTGGTGTCTATTTTGTGCTGAATAAAGATAGAATCAGTATTTTTTCTGCAATTATGTTTGACTACTGAGATTAGAGTTGCTAATGCTAACTTGGTTGTATTTAGCCTATAGATCAGTGACCAGGGTAGTCAGGATTGGTTGACACCAGAGGGATTAACAGTGATTGTTTGATGTACAACACCATTTCCAAAAAAAGTTGGGACTTTTTTGGAAATGGGCTTGTATTTGTGCAATGTATCCTAGGTATTGTAGTGAGAGAAGACTGGTGAACAGAAAACATGAAAATGATATAAAATCATGAATTCTGTCAAACTGATGAGGCTGAGGGATATAATACTGTAAAACATGACAAATAACATATATACATATATAAACCCTACTTTTAGGCCAGAGTGGCCCTTTAGGTGTGTTGGGTGCACACCCTGGCTTGGCTCTGATGCTTTGTTGACTGTACTGTGCTAATCAGGACAGCACCGCACACCATGTTCAGCTGCTGGCAGCATCTGTGCTGTTTTTGGTTGGAGGAAACAAATGAAAATGGGTTTCAGTACAAGAATAAATTTACGAATTGACTGTTCTCTCACTCCACACAGCTTGAGACCCATTCACCCACTCACTGACTCACTCACTCATTCACTCAGTCAGTCACTCACTCACTCACTCATTGACTCACTCATTCACTCACTCACTTACTCACTCAAATGTTCAAGCTATCATTCACTCGGTCACTAACCAACTCACTCACTCATTCACTCACTTATTCACACAGTCAGTAAGTCAATCAGTCACTCACTCACTCATTCAAATGTTCAAGCTATCACTCCCTTGGTCACTAACTAACTCACTCACTCATTCACTCACTTATTCACACAGTCAGTCAGTCACTCACTTACTCACTCATTCACTCAGTCGGTTAGTCAGTCACTCATTCACTAACTCATTCACTCACTCACTCACTTAAATATTCAAGCTATCACTCACTTGGTCACTGACCAACTCACTCACTCACTCACTCGGTCGCTAACCAACTCATTCACTCCCTTATTCACACAGTCAGTTAGTCACTTACTCACTCACTCACTCACTCAATCACTCAAATGTTCAAGTTATCACTCACTCGGTCACTCACGCACTCACTTGTTCACTCAATCACTCACTCATTTTGTCACTAACCAACTAACTCACTCAGTCACTAACTCACTTGGTCACTATCCAACTCACTCACTTACTCACTATCCAACTCACTCACTCACTAACCAACTCACTCACTCATTCGGTCACTAACCAACTCACTCACTCACTCACTTACTTGGTCACTAACCAACTCACTCACTCATTCACTCACTAGCCAACTCACTAACCAACTCACTCACTCACTCACTTGTTCACTCAGTCACTCACCCACTCATTCACTCTTTCACTCACTCACTCAATCTCTGACCAACTCATTTACTCACCCGCTCACTCATATGCTCATCTAAACACATCTAAAGTGTGTTAATATTTAATTTACAGCATCCTATCAATTTATTTGAAACCTGTGAAGTTGCACAGGACTAGCATATGTATTACATTTTCTTGCAAACAGACTGGCTTTATATTATTGAAAGCAAACTTTTCAATGGTGCTGTAATTATATACTATAAATAATTAATAGTTTTTGGGTTGTTCTCTCCTCTTTCTGTTGTTCTCAGAAATTAACCAATCGTAAGTGATGATGTCGCTGCACAAACCTCCGCTCAGACGCAGCGCGTCAACATTAGAATCCACCAATCGTGGAGGCCCTGCTGTGACTCCGCCCTCATCCCTTAACCTTCGCTCTTCCCACAACCAGCAATTGGGCCGTAACATCAGAAAGGAGGGTGTGGTCTCAGTTTCTGCAGAAACACAGGGTTCGGCCCTGCCCCCCAAGAGCCGCCACAAATACGCCCTGACCAACCTGCAGAGCGCCATGGGGCTGGAGGACAGTGGCCCCGCCCCTTTCAGTCAAACCCGTAAACCTGCTCCTACAAAATCTGCCTCTTCTTCTTCGCTTTATTCATCCTCCTGCGTCTCGCTCTCATTCTCTCCATCCAACCCTAAGCTGGCGAAAAACGGCACCAACCTGCAGCTGAAAGAGACGCAGTTTGACTTTCACAAGAAGGACAAGAATCGTAACGATGTCAGTGATTGGGCAGACTGCTTTGGCAAAGATAATGAGAAGGGCGCCCCCTTCAGGCGAAGGACAAAGAGCTTCTTGGAGTACCATCGCGAAGAGGACGAGGAGTCTTCCAACAGCCCGGGGAAGGAGCCCGAGACTCCGGCTGAGGAGAAGCCGCTCCTGCCGAAGCTGGAGCCACAAGCCTGGGTCAAAGAGAACCGAGTGGAGGTCCACCTCACGCTACCACAGAACCACTTGCTCCTGCTGCCTGGAGAAGAGGAGGACCAGAGCCCCACCCACTCTCACCTGAGCCAGGTGGAGGTGCTTCGCCCCAAAAAGGAGCAGCTGAACCGAGCGAAGGAAGCTGCAGGGGAGGACATAGGGTCTCCTGCCAGGCCCAGGCTGCAGGTGCTGTCTAGTCTGGGCCAGAGAGCAGAGCGGGCAGAGGAGCCTCCTAGGCAGGAGAAACAAGCAGAGGAAGAAGTGGAGGAAGAGGAAGACTCGAGCTGGACAACTCTGTCTCAAGAGAGTCCGTCCATAGAGACACCGCAGGAGACAGGTAAAGTCAAAATATATAAAGTAAATAAATTATAGTGCATTTAATATATTTATTCATTTATAATAAACAACAAAATAACAAAACAACAACAATAATAATAATTGTTATCGTGTTTAATAATTGTTCAAGTTCGGAAAGGTAATCCATGAATCATGAAATGCGCATTTTTATGTTTTTTTTAAAGATTAAAAAATACACATTTTGAAAAAATATATATTTTGTAGGGGTACTTTGCATTTTTTTTGCCAGATGGCAACAGCATGGGCAATGCACACTAAAAAACACTTATCCAGATCCTTTATAATGTGCTTTGCGGGTTTTAAGACATGTGGTGAAGTTAAAAAAACACCACGTTTTCTGCTGAGGGCCATAAATCATATCACAGCTGATCAATCAATATTAACCATGCATTCACTCTAGTCATCAGTGAGGCTTTCTAGGCTTTCAGAGATGGCCTAAAGATTTATTTAAAATAAAAAATACACAATTCATTTTTTGTTCCTTTATTTTTAAGATAATTATCATGGTTGTTTTATTTAAACTCTGCAAGTACTGTAGTAATACTGTGAATGCATTGTTACATTTCGATTAGAAATAAAAGGGTTAAATTCTTGAGATAGAACATTATCCAATAAGGACATTTTTCCTCTGTGGTGTCTAGGTAGATACAGCCAAGCAAGCTCTCACATTGGTTAGGCCTTCAGTAGTTAAACTGGAGATCTAACATGACGGATTAACCATTAAAATAATAAGGAACTGACAGTTGAATCAACCAATCACATTTTGATTTACAATGGCTGGGACCAATTTCATAAGAAAAAATGTCATTCTGGGCCTTCTCAAAGTTCTAGATATATCACTGATGCTAGTGCTAGTTTGACCAACGCGTTTCAGTCAGATGTTAGAAATGGAAAACAGCAGCGGCAGCTTCATGCCTGGGCTCTTTACTAAGCGTTCGCATTTGAAACTGTGAAAGTTAAAGTATGTCAACATGCCTTTTACAAGTTTGCAGTAGAACATGGAACATCTTACAAGCTTCAAATGTCCTTGTTTAATTAATAAGAACAGAAAAAATTGTTCATGTAAGGCCTGAAGGTCTAGCTCTAACAGTCATGGGTCGTCACTGCTAGTCTTCAATGGAGGAGAAATTCATTTTGGCTGTTTTCAAACTCACAGCTGTACAAAACCTGGCACAAAGATTAACACTGAATGCGAAAAAAAGAGTTTTAAAATTATTTTTGTAAGTCAAATTCAAGATGTTTGTTGCTTGTTTTGGGCTTTTGTGTTCTCTCAAATCACTTTCTTGCATTTACCTACTTGTCAATCAAATGCATTATTTCGCACCATAAGAAGTGCGTCCTGCTTCTTACTATGAGAAGCGGTGTGCAAATTACACATCACATTCTCAAGCCTACGTAAGAAAGCCAGATAAGAGGCAACATATTACTGCTGTCCCTTTACCTCTCTGCCTCTGTTTCATTTTACTTATCACCTCTCTCTTTCTCTCTCTTTCTCTTTCTCTCTCTCTCTCTCTTGTTTTGGTGTTAGTTTACCGCTGTAACCTGCTGCTTGCCTCTATAAGCTACCATGCTGTTACCATGACAACAGACTCTGAAGTGACCTGTTGTGCTTGTGTTTGTGTATTTCTGCATATTAGTATGTATGTATGTTTGTCTGTGTGTATTTATATATGCCATGTGGGAACCTCACGCCCTCAGTGTGGGTGTGGTGGGTACGTGCAGCACTGTGGAAGTGTTAGGCAACCAAAGAAAGTGTTAAAATCTCAATTAAGTGTCTTTTTGCCGCTAAAAATAATGCATAACATTCAAATAAATAAATACACTATGTGGATAAAAGTATTGGGACGCCTACACATTATAACTACAGAAGCTTTTATGACGTCCCATTCTAAATCCTTAGGCATTAATATGGAGTTGGTAACCCCTTTGCAGCTATAACATCTTCCCCTCGTCTGGGTATCTTTCTACAAGATTTTGTGTGTGGGGGGAATTTTTGTCCATTCATCCAGAAGAGCATTTGTGAGTTAGACACCGATGTTGGCCGAGAGGGCCTGGCTCATAATCTCCGTCCTAGTTCATCCCAGAGGTGTTTGAAGGGGTTGAGGTCAGGGCTCTGCAAGGGCCAGTCAAGTTCTTCCACACTGAACTCACCCAACCATGCCTTTATGGACCTTGCTTTGTGCACTGGGGCTCAGTCATGCTGGAACAGAGAAGGTTCTTCCCCAAACTTTTCCCACAAAGTTGGAAGCATAGAATTGTCCAAAATGTCTTGGTCTGCTGAAGCCTTAAGATTTCCCTTCACTGGAACTAAGGGTTCTAGGCCAACCCCTGCAAAGCAACCCCATAGCATCATCTCTCCTCCACCAAACTTTACAGTTGGCACAGTGCAGTCAGGCAGGTAATGTTCTGGCATTCGCCAAACCCAGACTCGTCCATCAGACTGCCAGATAGAGAAGTGTGATTTGTCACTCCACAGAATACGTTTCCACTGCTCCAGAGTCCAGTAGCAGCATGCTTTCCACCAGTCCACCCCCACCCTCTGATTCCTGGCAATGGAAACGCATCTTGTGAAGCTCGTGATGCATGGCTCTTTTGTTGATGTTGCATCCAGAGCCAATTTGGAACTCTTTAGTGAGTGATTTAACAGAGGATAGGCACTGTGCGCTTCAGCCCTCGATAGCCCCACTCTGTAAGTTTGCATGGTCCACCGCGTTGTGGCTAAACTGTTGTTGCTCCTAGGTGCTTCCATTTCACAATAATAGCACTTACAGTTGGCAGGGGCAGATCTAGCAGGACAGAAATTTCACAGACTGACTTGTGGCAGAGGTGGCATCTTATGACAGTGCCATGTTTAAAGTCACTGAGCTCTTCAGTATGACACACTTTACTGTCAGTGTTTTTCTATAGAGACTGCAAGGCTAAAGGCTTGATTTTATAAATCTGTGAGCAATGAGTGTGGCTGAAACACCTGAACTTAATAATTAGGAAGCGTGTCCCACTATTTTTGTCTATATAGTGTTTATATTGTTGTACGGTTAGTTAGAAGAATACACCTACTGTGTTGGAAAAAAAAAAAAAAAACTAGCACAGACCAGCATAAATTCCATGCTGTTTTATGGTGGTTTGGTGCTGGTTTAGCTGGTCACTCAGGATACCAGCATCCAAAGCCCGATATATACTGTTTTTTCTAGCAGGATAAAAGAACATAGATGTCTCAGTGGACGCTAGCCAGTGTATGGATTTAATAAATTCCATCAGCAGCACCTGATTCAATTTAATAGACTGAATAGATAAACTAGGTATTGTATGGCAGCTGAAAATATTGGGCTACCCATTGGAGAGCTTTGGAAATGGTTAAGCGAACACACTCACACCAGATCATATTGTTGTGTTTATTTGTGTTTATTCTAATGTTAGGTTATTTTGTGAACTTATAAATGCTAACTGCTCAGATAAATGACTTTATGTTGCATTTTCCCAGAGGACTTCTGCACAATACTTGTGCAGTATGCATTTAATAGGGATGCATCGACATTTCAGCCATTAATAATTTCGGCCAAAAAAGTTTTTTGGTTAAAAATGCCACATATGCACTTGTTTGCAAAGGTTACACCCTGTCTAATTGTTTTGTTTTGTTGATTTTCTAAGTGACAATAAGTTCACATATTCTTTGTAATCTTTTTCTGATACTTTTAGTGCACATTTTCTATTTATTTGCTTAACACATTGGAAAATGAAAGATAAAATATAAAATGTGCCCTAACTTTTGCAGAGGTCACATTTTTTTCCATTATGTTAACCTGAGTAAATAAACAGTAATTGTGCATTAAAATGTGCAGATGACTGTATTGACTGCTCTTGCACTTTTTAGGGTACATACACGACTGTTTGTCTTGAGCTTCTGTTATGGGTGAGAATCTTCATTTTCCCTGTGTTTATTGTTGTCAATGATGGCTGTGTTTAGCCACTGTCTGTATGTATTGCAGGTGTATGGAATGACTCGGTGCTGCCCCCTGGCTGGAGAGAGGTGGAGGATGTGTCTGATGTTTATTTCTGGCACATTCCCTCCGGGACCACCCAGCGGGAGCGGCCCATAACCCCCAGCAACCACCGCCCACCTGAACCTGATCAGCAGCGGGACAGGGCAAAGGAGGTCACCTCCCTGTCTGTCCCCCCTTCTAAGACACAGAGTGAGGTACACACAGCCATACACACACAGACACAGACATAGACACACATACACAGATACACACACAGTCAAACTCAGACATTCCATTCAGGTGAAAATACTTGTTTTTGTGGGCCGTTTAGCTGCTGGTTGTTTATATGTGCACAAATAAGTAGCTGAACCAGTGTTGGTTGTGATGACACTCCAGAACGTGCCAGTGTTCTGTCAAAAAACCTTTGTTTGTTTTGAGAGTGTGAAAAGCTTTGGACCTACATTCACATGTAGGCGGGACCACAGCAAAGAGAAAAACACCTTGTGTCTCAACCATGAGACTAAAGGTCCTAATGCTAGTTTTCAGGGCATCCTTTTGTTACTAGCCTTATGACATGTTAAGTGTGGTGTACATCTTTGTGCACATTCAACTCATTTTTAACATAACAAACATTTTCTTGAGATCTCAAGAAAATGAAATTGCAAAATCTCAAGACATGGGGATAACAACATTTGTTATGTCATAATAATGACAAATAACTTTAGAACTCTAGAAAGCAAGTAAAACTAACTCGTGCCACAATAGATCAGAGTAAACAAGGACAACACAGGGTCATTCATGTGAAGCATTAGTCTTACTAAGCAAAATTGAGGGCTAATAGCTCCCCCTTGTGGAAAATCTTCATCCTACTAAACCTGAGTGAGTAAGCGAGCGCATTAGTAATCATTTACTTTAGCATTTATTCAGTCTCTCATCTTTATTTTCAAACTTTCTTCTATTTTCTCGATTCTAGCTTGTGTGATTATGTATTTATTTCTGATTTTTCTCAATGCTTATATGCTAATGAGAGGGGCATGTCTTAAAGGACTGGGCAGTATCTGTGTATCAGTGGCTAATCATTGAGCACAACAAGGCCTTGATTATTAGGCCAGGTGGAGAATAATACTACTATATCTGGCCACAAGATGTCAGTGAGATTAAGTTGATGTATTTTGAATAAGAACAAAGTGGTAGCACCAATGATGGCTGCTCATGCATCATGTTTTCTTTAATTAAGGGTATTAATAGGGAGTTTGTCCCCCTTTGCTGCAGTGATGTAGGATGATTAGTTTTAGGTCACTCCAGCTCATCCCAAAGGTACTGGATGGAGCTCCATCACTCCAGAGAAACCGGTTCCAGTGCTCCACAGCCCAGTGCTGGGATGCTTTATACCCCTCTAGCCCACGCTTGGCATTGGGTATGGTGATTTTAGGCTCATGTGCATCCCATTTTATTGGTCACTGCTTTTCTATGTACATTATACAAGCTGTTTGTACAGCTGAACATTTGCGTCATCAATGGGTGCACCTTAAAGGAGCTGAATTCACTCATTAGAAAAACTGTCTGGATACTTTTGACATGCAGAATATATGTGTTGTATGTGATGAAATTAAAGATGAGGTTTTCAGACATTTACAGTACTGTTCAAAAGTCAAAGACCATCCTTCATTTGTTTAATATCCAGTCGGAACGACCATTAAGCCATTCATTTTTCAGCTTTAGGAAAAAAAGCTAAATAAATAAATAAATAAATAAATAAAACCCAAAATCACATATTTAACAGAGAATTAAACAAAAGCCTCAACAACTAAGTATAAAATCATTTGTTTTAGTATTTTCTGTGTCCACTCTATGTTTTTATTACAGCCTCCATTCTTTTCAAGAGACTTGCTTTCAGTTTTTTAAAGAAATCTGCAGAGATATTTTACTAATTTTACTTTGCGTTATTTATCATTTTATGTTGAAATTTTATTAATTGGTTCATTATCTTTTTGTTCCTCTTCTTAATCAAATCTTAACTGTTCTCTTACATTTTTTCCTCTTATTTGATTTTGTTTGATTTGTTATGTTCATTTTAGTTTAACCTGATTAAATTCCATTTTTTTCAATCCCATTATGCTGTAAATGCTCAGCTGCATTGAAAATGCAAGTAAAAATCCAAGTGAAAAAGGTTGATTGATCAATGGATGCAAGTGGATTATCTTGTGTCTAATCTCCTGAGAAATATCTCCTGAGAAAATGAATAACTTGTACTTAATGGCTGTTTCGTATAGAAATTAAACGAATGGTGGTCTCTGACTTTTGTACAGTGCTCAAGAAAGGCTCAAATGTATCTGACATGTTTTGTTCTTGTGTGGTGGGCTTGTGTGTTTATAAGCAGAGGCCCAGTAGCATCGTGTCAGACAGTTCTGTAGAGCCTGTGCCTTCTTCAGCCGCCTCTTCACCTTCTTCATCCTCACTCTGCTATGAAGTGTCTGGACCCCCTAGCAGCTTCCTCAATAACAACTACCTGGTAACATACACACACATCCTTTATCTGAAATTTCATTTTAAAAGGAAATGATACCATCGTCATGACTCAGATCTGGTGAAACTGAACGTCAGAACAAACACTGTCAGACCAAACGGCCTCAGAGAAAAGGTATCAGACCCAACGCAGGCCTGGTCGAGCATATACTGGTTCGTATAACTTAGAAGACTATTATGTATCTCGATATAAATGCCAGTATAGTCGTTTAGCTTGAGGAATGATGCCGTTCTGACTCGGAGGTCTGAGGATGTCCTAAAATGTACCCCGTAGCCCCGCCCTGTGCTAATTAACATATACTTGCATGTCGGTCAATTTGAAAACGAAAACGAAAAGTCGGAAATGTAAAGTAAATGTCCAGCAGGTGGCGCTGATGTTCGTTTGCCTTTTCATTCTGACACTTAAAGCGCATCCACGCCGAAAACTGAATCACAAACTGTCACTTTGCTGTTGATTTATCCATTTTGCATTTTCATTTTCATTTTGTCAGATATGCAGCCGATTGCTGTGAAAAAGAAATAAGAACGTGAACGCTGCATTTTGATTTCAGTTTTGACATGTTTTCTGCATTTCATGGAGAAAAGCCAAAGCCAAAGAGAAGCTTGGATTTTCTTTTCTCTATTAGCTTTTTCATTTTAGATTTGGCCATGAAAAACCAGAATAACGACTAAAATGAAATGACAAACAGCTGTTTTACATTTATTTTTATTTTTGTCACAAATGGCTCGTGCTCATGTGAAAAATGAAATTGCAAATGTAGGTATTTCATTTCATTTTCAAATTTGGCAGGATATTTGCGCAGATGTTTGGAAAAAGAAATGGCAAAACGAGGTTTGCATTTACTATTTTTTGTTTTAATTTTAATTTCTTTTTTGGCTGGATTTGCCTCCCATAGAAATTCTGCCAATTTTTCAAACCTGCTGTGTAATTTAATGATTGTGATGTAAACAAAATCATTCAAATATATGCAAATATATCCATTTTATTTGCTGTAGAAACATCAGTGAACCTACATGTGTCTTCTGAGGTATTATATGCAATACTAATGATGGTAAAATAGTGGTAAATGTGAAAAAAATGTTTTTTTCAGGCACTATTTTGCCTTACATTGATTTACATGTACCTTTCTGTCCAGTATGTATGTTAAATATGCATTTTAGGCCAAGATCTGATCTCAAAACTATCATAAAACAATGCCCTTTTAGGAGCATTACGCGCTATGGACGTTTGGTTCCCGTCACCACCACTGTGAGCAATTCTGACTTTTTCTCTAGAATACCGCATTTCACATCGGTCAACTCTGAATGACTCTATTTGCCTCTTAAAGGCAAATATCATGGAAATAAAATATAATAAAAGGCTTTGATACATTATGTAAACAAGTTTTAAACATAGCGTTCACCCCAAAGACCATACAGTACATATACAGCCTCTTTTAAATTCAGTGTTTTTATGATGTCAAGAAAATACATAAAAAGAATACATTTACATATATCTATCTATTCTGCCTACAGCAGGTTAGCCCTACCCATTCACATTGACATTAAAAGGAGTGTCTGTACTGCTTTCTGAATGAGGCACAACACAGGGTAGCCAATCAGAACAGAGCTCATTTGCATATATCAGTCTTAAAGGCACAGCAACAACATATACAGATACATATAAGTTGGAAAATGGTCATGATAAAATGAATTATGACTGTTTTTGGTACATAAACCCACATAAATGCAGCAAATGCAAATAAAATACAAGAATAATGATATAACGGTTGAATTATATTTTGAATTTTGAAAAAATGGTGGGATTCCCCATTCAAAGTCTAGTTTTACTACTCTAATTGAGCTCACAAGAATTCTAGTTATTATTGTACTTATATTACTCCATCTTTCCTTTTTCGCAGGACCAGAAGGGGGCCTCCGTGCGTGCTGAGTCCAGGGAACGAGAGAGCAGGAGAGTGGAGGAGCAGAGAGAGCGAGAGAGCAGGAGAGTGGAGGAGCAGAGAGAGCGAGAGAGCAGGAGAGTAGAGGAGAGGAGAGAGAGAGAGAGGGGATGTGAGGGAGCCCGCTGCATGCCTTACAGCTACATAAACCTGAGGTAATAACCTAACAGCATTCTTTCAGGCCGCACGGTGGCCTGGAAACTGTGAGCAGGAACAGCTAACCAGTGCATGGATTTGCATTACATAATTACATTACTGTAGTTACATTGTTAACCTCTTTAACTCCTTGGGACCACCGGTGGTTCCAAAACGCACTTCGTAATATTCTTTACTTCATAACTTTCATATTTTATAAGCTTCATCCAAAAGGTGGAGGTCATATGAGAGCTGTAACTGTCTTCTTTCCAGTCAAATAGATGGGTAATGTAATTTTTTTTCCCATTTTTCCACAAATCTGAGCTATAAACTGGATCTCAGAAGGTGTCTCTTCAGTGATCTGCTCTGTAAAAGAGCATCTTAGATCTTTGGCTTTCAGCAGTAAATTGTAAGCAGATAGCAACATGTGTATGATCATAAAACACATGTTCTGTTAATTTGAGGGGAGCTTTTACATTACAGTTATTTCATGCATTTACTGAATAATTTCCCTTATGAGTTGGGCATGTAAATTCAGATGGAAAAAACGAAATATACCTACGAGCATAAGAGGTAGTTCTATCTAAAAAATCAAATTTGTCCAACTGTCATTCCATGTCCAACCTTCATCCCAAAAACAAGCAACCAAGACATGTTTGGTGTCTGAAGTTTGCTTCTTTTTTCCTTTCGGTTTTGCTCTGGATCTACGAGGCTGATATAGCTAACATGTAATGGAAGCTTATATATCACCAATTAGCATTGTTTAAACTGCATGCCTAAATCATCACACACTTCACTCAAACCACACTAAGTTGATAAAGATACATCAAGTACATAATTATCCACTTACCCCAGTTGATTAGCCAAGTCAGGTCTGGTGTCCGGATTTTGCTTCTTTAGCTTAGCGCTGGAGCTACAGGGTTAACGTTGCTAACAAACTTGTATTTTCCATAAATGCATCATAAAACGTCTCTCAACCTGTGAAAAAAACTGCATCTAGGTCTTTAATAAAGTCTTGTGGACTTGTTGATGGCATTTAGAGAAAAATATGACTCAATATATTAATAAAACTTTACCGTGTAGCTGAACTCAGCAGGCAGCCATTTTAGCCAACAGGTGCCAAATCCCAACTTCCCTGCAGAATCAGTTTCTTTATCTGTTTTGTTACATTGTAACAATGGTGCTATATAGGACCATTTTCATGAAGGTTCTATATAGAACCATATTCAGCACATTCTTCATCAATCTCAATAATGCATGAATTATATCTATATAGAACCATTATATTCCTAAATAGAACTGCTAAGGAACCCTTGAAGAACTGTGTACTATTAAACCTCAATGTATACCAACACCAACCACTCAAACTGCACTCTACTACTGCCAAAGCACATGGTTCTTCAAGGGTTCTTTATTAAAGGAAATGATTCTATATAGAACCATGATATAGAACCATGACTGACTATATAGAACCATGAACACTCAAACTGATGGAGCAGGTGCTGTAGATGGTTCTATATAGAAACTTTTTGAAAAGGCTTGAGCTTGTAACAATAGAAGAACCATTTTGGTGCTATATAGAACGCCTTTCAAAAAGGTTTTATGTAGAACCATCTACAGCACATTCTCCATCAGTTTGAAGAACCATTTCATGAAGCGAAGAACCCTTTAATCATGCAAAGGGTTCTTTGAGTGTTCATGGTTCTGCATAAAACCATTTTCTTTACTAAAGAACCCTTGAAGAACCATCTTTTTTAAGAGTGTACTTAACTAACATATTTGACCAAGCTTGTGGGGTATTTTGGTGTTGCCAGTAATATGATGTCAAGTCAATGCTAGCAATGTTAGTATGCATGTAGCATTAGTCGTATTTCGGCTCCTTAATGACCTCATCATTCAGAAGATCTGGCGATGTTTGGAGGAGAAATATCTGTACGGCAAAACGGATGAGCCTCGAAACATTTTTGTATCGGTAAGGGAGTGACAATTTTCAAAGACACCATTCTTTTTGTCACAGAGAAAACTAAGAATCTGGAGTTCCTAATATGGTCATGATACGACCTAAGAAGTCTGTGAAACTCTATATAGTTGTAATAAAAAAAAGCCTTGCAGGTTGTACACTTTATTGTTTAGTGAACTTTTCTTCCTGCAGTTATATTTCCTGTTTCTAGCATATTGTTCTCTTTCTCCACAGGGCTAAAGTGCCACATGCTCCTGCTGATACAGTCATCCCTATCGATGACCTGGACACGCAGGTGGGTTCCTGTGCATTGCTGACCACAGCTTTTCCTCTAATGATGGGTCACAGTCATAGCTGCTCTCAGATTAGCTTTAAAGAGGAATTCCATTGATTTTTCAGTTACAATCATCAAGATGTAAACAAAGTCAGAGTGGTTTAATGTGAAGTGCTTTATTCTAGAGAAACTTGCTAAGTCAGAATTGTTCACAGTGGTGGTGATAGGAACCAGGGGCCATATTACAGAAAATTGTCTGAGATCATATCTTAGCTGCGTTGTTGTCATGGCAACTTCAGTTAAGACTGAAGTTAGGACAGAAGCCATTACAGAACAACAGTTCTTAAGTCCATTATTTCCAGATAAATATCCTAAATATTTTCTTATCTTTAAGATAAACCCAGAGCGTCTGTACTTCTGTTTTAATCGTCTGTTTCTGTTGTTTTATGCAGTGATAGGCAGCACAGTTCACTGTAACTGGCATAATCACGTTACATTTGTCTACAGTGAAAACGGTGCTTTGACTCGTGAGGTTTTTTTTTCTAACAGTGTTTAAAAGCCCCAGATGCTGCAGACAGATCTCCACTGTCCCCTCTTATTACCTTCATGTGTTATTGTTGATGTAAACTCGTCTGATAGAATATTACAGCGATGGTGGTGAATAATGAGAAGACAGAGCTGAATGTGTCTGTTTATTAGGAGGAATAACATTAGCGCGCTCGGCTAAAGCATTTGGGAAAGGAAACTGAAACTGAGAGCAGCGACTCTGAAAAACAGCATGAAGTGCTGTCACAATATTCTTAACTCTCAGTTTATTGCACTTTAGTTTTGTTTGACCTTTTTTTACATCAGTAACGGTAGCTAACGTTAGCTGCCTGGCTAACTAACTTGATTACGTGTTTACGTTTCAGCTGTGCGCGTGTGGTCGGTTGCTAGGTAACAGACACGACAGTTGATTGTCGACTTCAATCGAGTAAGTTAAGATTTCCTAACTTGAGATAAGAAAAGATGCTGTAAGATAAGATTCTTGAATTAAGATAAGATTTGCTTCTGTAATAGGAATTTGTGAAAAATCTTATCTTGACCTGTCAGATTTTTACGGTGCGGAGCTACGGAGCCCCTAAGGGGCCATGGTTTAAAAAAAAATATAAATAAAGTTAATGACTTTGCGTTCCCTCGCAAATGTTTTGCATTCCCTCACAAAATATATGCTTGTCATACAGCAAGCAAACGTAGGACACGAGGTGCCCAATGACATTGCCCACATTAGAGCTTTGTTTTTAGCGTAGACAATGTTAAAATCTGTTTTCACAGTTTCTCCAGTCTGTGCTGAGTGTATTCAGCAATTGTTCTCTGCAGTCTCTGTAAATGTAGCCTTTACTGTAAGAGGACACTCGATCTCAGTTTCAGTTTGAGTCACTAACAGCATAATCATGTTTGATATTGAGAAGCGGCACTATGTCTTTATATTTCAATCCAAGATCAACGTAAAATTCAATGAGCTGCTCTGTCTCTGTTTTTTTTTGGGTTTTTTTTAACCATGGCCCCTTAAGGGCTCCGTAGATCTTAAGTTAAGACAAAAAGATAGGAAGTTTCTGTAATGCAGCCCCTGATGTCTAAAAGAGTTGGTTCTAAAAGCTGACTTACAGAAAATTATTACAGAAAATGGTTATGAATATGCTACTTGATGGCTGAGACATGGTTTGGCGATAGTGTTCAAATAAGATTTTTTAGCCAGAAACAAAAATTTGAAAAATATTTATAGCAGAGAGGTACATCCATGGTGTTGTAAGGCAAAATATTTCCCAAAGGACACAACAAAAATTTTGAAAAATCTGGTGAATTTCCCTTTAATCCAAGACAGAGGACTGTACTGAAAGAAAGACAATGGTCATCAAGCACCATCATGTGGCTGCAAGTGGAACTGCAGTTATTTGTGTTGTTTTTGCTGCCACCTGCTGGCAGTACAAATACAGCACATGATAAAGTTCATTTGTCTCTGAGGGAGAGACAGAGAGGTGTGGGGTAGGATGGTGGGGTGAGTGAGGAGGAGGGACAATGTGCTCAGTTTCTAAACTGTAACGACTGAACGCGATGCATTGTGGGATTACATCATCTGTAGAACGGTGAAGGCACGTGCTGGGACGACAACAACATCTGAAACTTTGATGAGCGAGAGAGGAGACAGAAAAAACGAGAGAGAGAGCATGAGAGAAAATAAAAGTCACGAGTAGTAGATAAAATAAAACGTGAGACAAAAATGGGCTGACAGTACGTTAGTGTGTTAACTGTAGTTCCTGGAGGAGAGCAGAATGCAGACAAATACTGGCTCTGCAGCGCTCTGTTGTATTAGAGAGGAGGGGCAGAGGAAGTGGGGAGGAAGGAGGGAGAGTGAAGGAGAGAGAGTGAATGTCTCACAAACACAAAGTCTCTTTGTGTATTTGTGTGTGCATATTGGTCTGTAGTAGGAGCGGGAATCTCTGCAGGTCCCACGATATGATATCATAATACTTGTAATGTTGTGTTATCGCAATTATTAAGTGCAAACCTGAGTCAAGTCTTGAGTCTTTAGTGGTAAATTTCAGTCTCATTAATTTGGCTTAGCAAACGACCTGAGATACTGTAGCACTACTTGAGCAGCACCTTAGCAACCACCTGGGATTCCACAGCAAATGCCTAGCAATTCCTTAGCAACCACCTGGGATTATGCAGCAATTACCTATCAACACCTTTAGCAAACACCTATGATACTATAACAATGGCTTTGCATCACCTTAGCAGAGACTTTATCAGAGTAATTTAAAGTTTGTTTACAAACGTTCCCCTTCTAGTTATTAGCTGGAGCTGTAAAGTGCAGCACAACTTTCATAGCAAAAAAGTGCTTCAGGCCGAAGGACAGAACTGAAGTGCTACATCCAGTAAATGCTTTGTGCTGTTGGACTGGAATGCCAGAGAAGTAACTGACATTGCATATTAATAAAAAAGAAGGGGAATGAAAAAAAAGACAGCATTTTTTTTTTATCATGGCAAGTTGCCAAGGTAATAACATAAATTAACTACAGTACCCATAATGCAGTGCTCTCAGCCTACAACACTGTGCAAAACTGAAAGTCAAAATCACAACCGTAGAGTTGGAGACAAAAGGTTTTATTCATTTACATCTGTTTTGTTTGCGTTTTGTTCAAATATTTTGTGAGTTTTGAGTCGAGTCATTTAAGCGTGAGTCCGAATCAATTCATAAGTCATGTGTGATCTGCTAAATACTAAATATTGTAATAAAGATTTTTGATATGCTACATGCTAACAATTGTGATATATTTAACAATTTGTTGGATGCTAAATGCTAAATATTGCTACATTTAAAGATTTGTGATTTTGGGTGTGTTCTATGGCATAGATGGACGTGTGTGTGTGTTATATGTGTATGTGCCGTAGGTGTTTTGTATCTTAGGTAGACATATGTGTGTAACGAGTGTGTGTGTGTGTGTGTGTGTGTGTGTGTGTGTGTGCGCTGCAGGTGTTTCGTGTGCGCTCTCTGGGCTGGATGGAGGTTTATGAGGCGGACATGGTGGCTGGCCGGAGCAGCGCTGTGGTCAGTGACTGCATCAGACTCCTTCAGCACCCAGACACACCCCCTCACGCACACACACTCCGCCGGAGAGAGCGAGCGAATGCGGGCGAGAGGGAGGAGGTAAGAAAGACTGAGGAAGAGGAGGAGGAATGCAGCATTACAGCCCTGTCGTTCTGATAGTTCAAACTGCCGTCCAACAGTCAATCAAAACAATTTAAATAAACAAAGAAGTATTTCGAGTTTAGATATTTACAAGGATTATTTAATAATCTATTTAAACCCAAAGGCATTAGTTGAGACAGTAATAAGTGAACATTTCGCTGCTGTCAGAACAAAACCTCATATCTCTATTTTTGAAGTTTTTCAGTTTCTGGCATAATTTGAAAATGCCTATTACCCTTTACATTATGCGTAAATTTTATGATGAATGGACCAAAAGAAGTGTCCCAAAATTACATGGAAAAACCTCTGGTTCCATTGACTTACATTAAAAGTAAAGTTTGTTTTTTCCTTCTCCTGTAAAGTTACCATTTTGGACGAGGTTTTGTTCCGACAACAGCGATATACAGAATACTTTCTACTGGAAGAAAAAATCCTAACCCCTATATTTACACTTCTGAGTTTTTTTCTTTTTTTTTGTATTTTTTTTAAATTTCCTTTTAAAGTGGAATTAAAATATTTAGATTTACAACTTTGTTATCTTGATATATAACAAGATGATTAACTCGTTGTCTCAAGATAACAAAGTTGTTGCCTTGAAATATCAAGTTAATTATCTCAAGATAACAATCCAGAAAATTATAGCAATAGCTCATTGCCTCTCCAGACTCCTGTAAACTTCCCAGTAGAAAGTGATTTTGTATATATTTATATATGTTGTATATATTTTGAGTGAGTTATAAGGAGCGATGTGTGTGTGTGTGTGTATGTGTGTGTAGATCATAACAAAATCCTTGTAAATATCTGAGGTTTGGCTGCTTCATTTTTATATATATATATAAACATATATGTATATATATATATATATATATATACATATATATATATATATATATATATAAATGAAGCATCCAAACCTCAGATTCAAGCTGTCCCATAGGTAATATATACGTATATATATATATATATATATATATATATATATATATATATATATATATATATATATATATATATAAAACCTATGGGACAGCTTGAATTAATTCAGTACAGTGGTTCATGTTGTAGTGGATCTATAAAGTAGTCAGAGGTCATTAATGGACTGGTGGTACAAATGTGTTGCTTCTAATAAAATGGACGTTGTGTTCATCTCCTTAATTGTTCAGTGTATGTTCTGTATTTTAGTATTACAGAGATGTTAAAGTCATTTTTCTCCTCAGGGGAAAGCGATGTTATTGGTTCTTCAGGACGTCACGTTGACCCTGATTGACCCTGTAGACCACACCCTACTACATTCTCAGCCAGTCAGCAGCATCCGAGTGTGGGGCGTAGGGCGGGACCACAGCAGGTTGGTGGAAATTTCCATACAGTTTCTAATCAAAAGATGTCTGTGGTAAAAACGTTTGTGGTAACATCGCCAACGGACCTCTGAGGTTGTGCGTCAGTTTGTATCCTAATTAAGGAGCTCTGGGCCTAAGACGGTTTTCTCTGCGGGAAAAATAACTGGCTTCTTTGAAAATGCAGATATTGCTACATACAGTTGTGTGAAAAAGTTTGGGCGCCCCGGACAAATTTTTTGTTGTTGTTCCAAGTGAAAATAAGTTAACACATCCTTCACAGAGAACATACTTTAGAGTGCACAGTTGAATTTACCATATTGGAAAAAATAAAACATAAAATGTTGCCTGTGCAAAAATAATGGCACATTTTATACTGCGTATTTTTGTTTTTCCAACATGTTAAACTCAGCGAATAAACAGAAATTGTGCATTAAAATTTTGCTATATTTAAGTTTTCTGTACAGGACGTGTTCACTTATTTTCACTAACAAAATCACTGAAATGTTGTTGGACCAGGTGTGTTCAAGCTTTTGCATACAACTGTAAATACTACAAGCTAACACTCCTGAACATGTAATTGACATAGAATGAAGGTAAGGCTACCGCTACTCTTCAGCGCTATTATATACACTCATAAAAATTATGGTTCTTCAAGGGTTCTTTAGTAAAGAATATGGTTCTATGTAGAACTATGAACACTGAAAGAACTCTTTGCATGATTGAAGGGACTTCGCATCATGAAAGGGTTCGTCAGAATGTGCTGTAGATGGTTCTACATAGAATCTTTTTGAAAAAGGTTCTATAGCAACCAAAAGGGTTCTTCTATTGTTACAATATTAAGCTTGTAACAATAAAAGAACGCTTTTGGGTGCTATAGAACCCTTTTCAAAAAGCCATCTACAACACATTCTCCATCAATCTGAAGAACCTTTTCATGATGAACCCTTTAATCATGCAAAGAGTTCTTTCAGTGTTCATGGCTCGATATAGAACCATTTTCTTTACTAAAGAACCCTTCAAGAACCATCTTTTTAAAGAGTTTAATAGTGGCAGGAACTCTCATTGAAGCGTACTACTGCCAAAACTAATGACCCACCAGTAACTGCAATACAGCACAGAAACTGTGTGTCACAGTAATTAAAGAACTGATTCTACAAAAGAAGGATAGTATGGTTTAGTAATAATGCAGCTATAACAAAAGCTTTTTGTAAATTTATATAAATGATTTCTTATTTGTATCTCAATGAAACAAGCAGAAATATTCAATGCCACATTTGTAAGTAGAAGTGGAGACATTTTATTATGATTTGAATTTGATGGTGTTATTGTTGTGCCTACAGTCTTGTTTTTCAGCATGAAAAAACACTTTATATTCATATTTTTTCCATTTCTTTGCAAAAAAAAAAGTTTATCAAGACCTTTATCAAGGATGTAAATCGAATGTAAGTATAATTCATGTTAATAACTTTGTAGTAACTATGTAGTTAAGTTGTATTTACATATACATTTACAATTACATTTAAATAGAGTAGCACGGAGCTGCCCAAACTGTGACCTGCCGGCCAAAGTTGCCCTGTGAGGACATTTAATTTGGCCCACCAGAATGTTAAACTTACCCAACCCTATCACCCAATGAGAGAACATGTCTATATACTATATATAACTTATTAAATGCTTATTGTTTTGTGTTTTAATAACAAATTACAGTATAATGTAGTACATTTTTTAACACAATTTGAAATTAACTTCTTGTTCCTTGGCCCTCCATCACAAACATTTCACTTTGGCCCCTAAAACAAAAAGTTTGTGCACCCCTGGTTTAGCAGAGTGGCAAGAGTAACTCTAGACTTGTAGGGGTTAAATATTTTTTCTCACATATATTCAGCCATGCTAAGCCTAGAGATCCCCTCCCTACCCCCCTCCCCCCTTCGTCTGCACTAAAAATTTAATCCCTGGTGAGGTTAAGAAGGATTGACCTGGTTGGTGTATGATAAGGAAAGATCAGGTGTCCACTGACTGTAAGGGTTTGTTAAGATAAGTGCCGGCCCTCAGGGAGATTATATAAAGCAGGATTTCTCATTAAGCTGTAGAACCAAAAGTGAAGACTGTCCAATAGAAATGTGTTCTCCTATTCGACAGACTCAACTTCTGACTTAAAGTGGAATTCCACAAAATTTTCAAAATTTCTGCAGTATTCAATGGCTAAGTTGTCATGCAAAGGGGTTTAGTGTGAAAAGCTCTGTTCTAGAGAAACTAGAGTCAGAATTGTTCACAGTGCTGGTGACAGAAAACACACATGTGAAGTATTTGATGCCTCTAAAAACTCCCTCACAGAAAGGTATAACATGAAATATTTATGATTATAAAACTGATAGTTCCGGTCTGAAAATCTGATTGGGTGAGCCATGTTTGAAGCCGTTGTAAAATCCATAATATACTCACACTTATGACCGCCTCACAACAACTGAACTCTGTATTACTGCGCCACTGGCTATTAATGGAATGATCTCTGACTCTCATGCTGCTCGCATGGTCCTCTGAGTATATTGATGAAGTAAGAACCCGTTTTTTGTTTAAACTGAGAGACTTGCGACTTATGTTCTTAACTAGAACTGGGCTGGCCAGCTAGCTAACAGGCTAATAGATAACGTACAGGCTAAACAACTCCATCATTAATGTTACCGACTTGAATGAAAGCATTTACAATATGATTAACTGTAAAAAGGTGGTATAAGAGAATTTCACTTGAATGGATTATGCACTTCAGATGTTCGTGTTTCAGTCAAAAGTAGCATGAAACCCAGGCTGAGTCCCAAACGACTCCATACTCCCTAAATAGTCAAATCGTGCATCATTTATCAAGTACGGATGTGGTTGAGTCCCAAATGGATATTTCATATCATAGCTGTATTTTGCACAGTTGGGCTGCAGCATCCAGTATTTAAATTCCTATGTAGTGCACTATGTGGGGAGCAGGGAGACATTTGAGATTCAGCCCCAGCATGAGAAGAGGGGCGCCGCTGGATTGGTGCTAAGACTCGTGGTAAATTGGTGACCAAAAAGTACTTATAAAGTGAAGGTTTCTGCATTAAACAGTGCTGTGTTACCATATTATTGTTCATTATTGTATGACAAAAAGTTAAAAAAAAAATCATGAAATCATCAAATATACAGCGAGTGATTGAACATTCTCCTCATGCAGTGGTACGTGGTTGCTTGGCAACGATACCATACTCTAAAGGAACTAATTTCTTGGCGGAATACTTGTTTATGTCGATTATTATTATTAATAACTCAAATTATTTTCTGAAAAATTGTGTATTGTATCATATTTTATGTTGGCTGCCATTTATGAAAGCAATAAGCGACTTGAGACTGTGCTTTACTATGATTTTAACACAAGGAAGGGAGTTATAGCTCAAGTGCACAAGAAGCAAACATGTCTTGGCTTATCTTCTACATTTGGGTTAAGGGAGGAAATTGTGTACATTTGACTATAACTTTAAGGCTGTTATTGCACCAACTATGTACACAAAACAGCTGTTCTATGACCATGCAAACATCCGATTGGCTGGAGTGCTGAGATATGCATCTGCCCATTTTTAATGATTTCTTAATGACACTGCAGCTGCTTGTGTTTGTGGGCGTGGCACAGTGGAACCTCATCGCAGAGAGCATTCTTAAATGGTGGATCGAGCATCACACTGAACACTCTTTCTCTACCAGTTAACACTACGATGCTTTTGGGAAACTGGGCCCTCACTGACTCCTGTCTGTTCTGAGGGGTGCTGTTCTCTGGTCTGCCACTAGGGGGCGACAGTGGGCTGTTATTTGTTTTCTGAGGCCGAGCTCGTCCTCGTGTTTGACTTTATTACTTTCACTCATTCCACCTTTCCCTCCATCCTTCCATCTTTCTCCTCCTCCCCTGGGGGTGATGAAAGTTTTAGTGCCCTGTCTCTATGGTAATGGAAAAGACATGTCGGAGAGAAGCAAGGATACAGGCTAGTGTGAGCGAGAGTGTCTATGAGAGTGAGAGAGAGAGAGAGAGAGAGAGAGAGAGAGAGAGAGAGAGAAATGGGGAAGAGACGCGAGTAAAAGAGTGAGAAAGGGAAAGAGGAGAGACAGACAGGGTAAGAGAAGAGAGAAGGAGAGAGATTTATAGGGAGAGAAAGGTGAGAGAGAGAAAGACAAGAGAGGGAAATAGGAGAGGGAATAAGAGACCAGGAAAGAAGAGAGAAAAATAGAGAGAGATGGAAGGAGTAGAGAGACAAAGATAGGGAAAGAGGAGAGAGACAAATAGAGAGAGAAAGATGATAGAGCAGAGAGACAGAGGAGGGAAAGATGAAAAAGAAAGAAAGAAAGAGGAGAGAGAGGAAAAGAGCAAAGTGGGAGGGGGAGAGAGAAAGGTAAAAATAGGAAAGAGAGAGAGGGAAATAGGAGAGGGGAAAAAAGAGGGATTGAACAAAGAAAGTAAGAGGAGAGAGAGAGAGAAAGAGGTAGAAAGAGGGGAAGAGGAGAGAGAAAAAAAAAATAGAGAAAGAAAAAAGAGAATGAAGAGAAAGACAGGAAAATATGAGAGAGGGAAAGAGGGAGGAGAGGAGAGAGATGGAGAAGAGAAAGAGAGAATGAAAGAGGAGAGATCAAGAAAGGAGAAAGAAGAGAGAGAGAGAGAGAGAGGCAAGAATATGTCAGTATTGCTCTTTATTGCTCCTTATATATTCTCTCTCTCTCTCTCTCTCTCTCTCTCTCTCTCTCTCTCTCTCTCATTCCTGTGTTTAATTCATTCTGCGTGTGACTCTTATTTTTCTCTCTCCTCTTCCATGCTTGGCTGTATCTTTTGGCGTTTGACAGACTGAAAGCTCTTCTTTTCAGATGAATTAGAGGCAGATTTCTCACAGGAGCAAAACTCAGACTTCATAAAATATCCCTCAAACCCAGCGCAGTGAACCAGCGCCCTCACAGAAGAACGTCTGACTGCCATTAGGCAGTAAAAACAAGACAGAGAATC